TTTACACAAAAGGTCATTTGTTCCGTGACAAATAAAACAAAGTGTATTTTTAATAAAAAAAAGAGCGAGGAAAAAAAAACACTACTGTAAATATCTCACTTTACGTAGCATTCACACTTCGTTCACCAGACAGATGTCTAGAGCTACTCTAATATTGTAAAAGGGCACGTGTCATCTTAGTCAAATATCTCGAAATCATCGCAACAATAAAACCAACTCAGTCAGAAAAATAAACACAATTCTTCTTTACAATTCCTTGTAGAAATCTGACATAACATTACACATCTCTGTAAAAATGCAGGGGTTAGATCTAATCGATAATTTACCAATGACACCTGCATTACTGTTATATTAAAATACATGTATATTTAATACATTTAAAAATACATGTATAAAATGCATGTATATTTCAATAAATGATTTTTTTACCAATTGGCATTTACTTTTTCTTATTACTTATTAGTATTATATGTTTATATTAAACTTCTATCATAAAAAACAAAGTAGTGTCCCCAAACATTTGTTGTACAGTACTGTACGTATGTATGCGCGAAAATCATTAAATTACAAAAAAATATTATAGCCATCAAGACTAAAAAAGTAAATAAACAACATTAAACCTGTCAGCATTTCATATCACAAGCATATCCTTGACAAAAGGCATGAGATAATCGATAATTTATCGATCACACCGATAGCAGGTGGTCAATTCCCGGGATTACTATATGTTTAATACGATCCCGGATCCCGGCTTTTCTATAGGCGATCCCGGGATTTTCCCCCCACCCGGATATTTGTAATAAATAACGATACGTTGGTCCCCATTCTTGTGCGTTTCGCCCGTTGCGCATTTTAGCCCTACCAGACGGGGGTTTTAAAAACTTTTAATTTAAAAACGGCTGGGACGAGAATTAAAAAATTGGTCTTAAAGGAAAGGGAAAAAAAAAAAAAAAAAATTTTTTTACATTTTTGTGAAAAATTTTATACCCTATTGTTTTACTTTTACTGAAACAAAATTTGGCCCTTTTAATTTAAAATAACATTTTGTTGGATTTTTTTCTTTTTTCACATTTGCTCACTTTGGGGTTGGAGGGCGGATAAAGGGCTGGGAAATTGGTTTTATAATTTTTATTCCCAAAGTTTGGGTTTTTGGACTCTGTGATAAACCCGTTATACATTAATCAATATGGTCATGCATTGTAAAAATAAGTGGTGGCATAATGTTCATGAGACAAGTTTGAAACGAAAAACATGGTGCCTTTGCGGCATATCTTTAAAGATGTTATTCCAAGTTCTCCTGTGTTTGCGCCTGGAGTATGTGAAAACTCTACGTTTATTTTATATAATGATTCCATTTTGGATATTTAATATGGGCTGCATTGTGGAAGTGTTTACGAGTTTGATGAAGTTAGCTCGGCGTGCAGTCTGAAAGAAAAAGCATGGGACATCAAAAAAAATGTTGAAATAGGCCTACCTCTAGTCAGATTGGCTTCCCTTGATGATTGATCTACCCGCAATTGATCTATTCTAATGAATTGTACTTGATTACAGACTGTGATATTTTGGATACAATTATTGACTCCAAAAATGCCATCAGTTTATTGAGACAAAATTGCATAAATTTGTAAAATTAAAACATGAAGTCAATTAGATCTGCATTCTAAAATCCAATCAAACACAAAAGTTGAATCTTATGTTTCAAATCGTAAGGAAAAAATAGAAGTTGTGCGACTTTGTATCAGGGTCTTGACAGTCACAGGAAAATAGACTCCAACAGAAGATTGGAAATATGTTTCATATTTCATATGAAAATAAATGCTCTGCACATGGACATCTTTCTTACATGTATGTGAGTGTAAAAATTGTGCTTCTGTACAGCAAAAGATATGAAGGAAAGTATTCAGAGTTTCTAGGGATCGTGGAGAAATATTTTCATAATTGACATTCTTTCAGGAAGAAGTGTTAGAAACAGATATTGATATTATTGTGCAATAATTCTTTATTCTTATTACCTATTGACTCAGCACCCAAAAGAAAATATATTTCAGACTGTAATTTTATTGTTTTCAACTCTTATTCATTTACATAATCATATAAGTAACTAAATTATCTTGCTGTCTTTAAATTGCAGACATTTTCTTAAAATAAAGTTGAAAAACATTCCAAACCTTGAAATGTTACTTAAACAGTATTGAAAATTGTTAAATAAATTACAACAATGTACATGTATGTATTACTTATTACTTTATACATATTTAAGCTTGATTGTGAAACAAGTTCTTGCAACTTATATTAATCACTTTCGAGTCCGCTTCCTGGAACCAACCTGTACTGGTGTCATATGAAGAAACATGGTCGTGACCCAAGTAGTGCTCGAACCCATGATCCCTTGGTTGATGAGAGGCAGACAGCTTAACCCTTAGGCCACCACTCCACTTTTTACAAAATATACATTATAGTAGTTGGAACTACTTTCAGCTCTTCCAGACTCTTAGTTAATCATTGATAATCAGAGAAGTGTTCTGAATAGCAGATTTGGTTAAACATAAATAAACAACCACAGTTATTGATTTATCAAGTATTTAATGATCTGTTTACAACATATTATATTAAAGAAATATCTAAATTCAATCATTTTGAGCATGATTTTTTAAATGGTAATTTATACAATAATATAACAAAGTAAGTTTATGACAAAGCATCAACAATGAATAGTAATAAATAGACGCAATTCAATCTTCATGTTCCCAATCATAGGATAATATATACATGTATACTAGCAGATTCATGTTGAAGTCTTTCTTGATGAAACAATAATGTACAAGTACATGTATTTATAAATGGTACTTCTATAAATTTTACAAGATGCATATAATTGGTGTTCAAGTTCAATTTATTTCAAATTTGAAAAATATCAGTTTTGTAACTGTAACACTGCTATATTTGTGTACTTGACTTTCCCTGCTTTAAATTCGGAACAGTCCATATGTCATTGTGGATAAAAGGGAGTTCAGTATCAAAATCAAAACGATCCCAAATTATGACTTGTGCAATAATGAATTAAATACATAACATCTAGACAAGATGAAAAATATTGTGTAAGGTTTATAAATGATTGCACTCTTTAGCATTTAAGTAAAACACACCCACAAAACATATATATATATACATGATAAAGTGGGTTTTAAATATGTAAACAAACAAATAAAGAAAAAGGGTAGCAACAGATATATCACCTGTCACCATTTCCTTGAGCTAGTGATTTGAATAAGTATGCTTAATTTCTTTTGATGATTTATGATCAACAAAAAAGAATGAGAAATAAATTCTAAAATAATGGTTGTTCCACATGAATAAAACAACAATTAATCGTTAGTTTTCACAAACATTTTGAGGATAAATTTACATTAATCAATTAATTTCAAATGATTACTCCTCATTTATACACTTGTATCCAATTTTACCTCACGCTTAGATTACAATGACCTTACTTTTCCAAATATACTAAAAAAATTTGATCACAATTACCAACACAAGCATAAAATTTATTTATACACAATTAAAAACATCAGTAACCACAAATACTAAATAGTACTAATCATCTTATTTTGAGGAGGTGCAATTTTGCATCAATATTTGAAACCAGTTTTAATTGCAATTCTTGTAAGGGAGTTCTAAACATTATTTTTGGTTGTGTTTCACGGTGCACCAACACAGTAAAGGTCAAATGGTGACTTTCTAGCTTTACTGGTGGAAGAAGATCTCAGGTGCCCTTCCATGCATTACTTCAGGCATGAATGTGCTACAGAGTAGAACTAGCTGGATAGCTTCCTCACATAAATGAATCCAAAGTCACTGTTGTGGATTCGAACCCACAGTGGTAAGGGGAGAGGTGTTTGGACGCCCATATTTAAAGAAACTTAATGCTCTAAGGGAGCACTGCCAATTAAACTTTCGGTCTCAATGATTTGACAATTTTACAACAAAAAGATATGCAAAATGTTTTTTTTTTGTACTTTCCTAATATTTTTATAAACCAGCAGGTGGTTTAAAATTTTCATTCTGTTTCATTAACTTATTGTATAGTTTAAGCTCAATCTTACAGCTTACTTTTGTTTGTGTTGGGTCTCTTTTTAGTAAACAAGCCAAGCAAATTCAGCCAGAACTCAACTGAAGTACAGGAAGAACTTTTATCTGTAAATATTTTCTTGAATAAATAATGATACATTCAAAATATACAAGTATATAATTCAAGTTTATAGGACTGTCATTTATAACAAAGGATAATCCAGCAATCATAAACAAACAAATCGCCAAATTCACATCTTACAAACACACAAATGGCCGAATTCACATCTTACAAACACATAAATGGCTGAATTCACATCTTACAAACACACAAATGGCCGAATTCACATCTTACAAACACATAAATGGCTGAATTCACATCTTACAAACACATAAATGGCCGAATTCACATCTTACAAACACACAAATGGCCGAATTCAATTCTTACAAACACATAAATGGCCAAATTCAATTCTTACAAACACACAAATAGACAAATTCACATCTTATGTATTATCTTATATCCATTATCCAATGTCTGTTTATATATTCTAAAAATGTTTGTCAAGATATTGTTTGCCATTAACAATGAGAAGTGCTGTAGTGAAAATGTTTCCGATGTGAATTCGGCTTTTTGTGTGTTTGTAAGATGTGAATATGGCTTTTTGTGTGTTTGTTAGACTTTTACAATATGAATACTGTTAAAGTCAAATTTTAGTAAGAAATTTTGTAATTTAATTCTCATTTCTACATAATAAAAATCATTATCCACACACTTTTTTTATTTCATTTTTATACTATCAATGTCAATTTATAGAGATATTTGTGTTATTTCTACTCAATTTTAATAAAACAGGTAGAGAAATAATGTAGATATATAATTAGCATTTCTTAAAGTGATAGGAGCAATGTATCCTTCAATAAAACAGAACATTTAGCCACAGAACTTGTTAACTGCACCATCAAAATGAACACAATACAAACATTTGGTATAATCATGGATATGGAATGTCTAGGGTGTCATACATGTACACCACAAGGATTACGATAGTCAGTTAAATGACACCTATTACTGGTATTTTTGAGAGGGTTAGTTACTTAGTATATTTGCATAATAACATTAACTATTAAAATATTTTCAAAATAATCCTTACCCTGTTGTGAATAATTAATAAAAAAAAATTCGAGTACATGAACACACTTTTGTTCTGTTAATGCCACAAGTTTGTTATGAAGAAAAAAAAAGTTCTTATATAAATCTGGAATTTATGACATGCTAATAAATATTCGATTAAACTTCATTTCTAAATCATGACTGTCTGATAAACAGTTTTTTTTATCGTAACCCTTCACTTGCTGAATTTATGTGCATTAAATTTAGAGCAGTTCAATCTAAGTGTAAGGAATTGCGATATCACAATGCAAAGATTTTAGCCTGGTCACACTATATAGATGTGTCCGCTGAGTGTCGGTAACTGGTTGGACTGGCTGTATACTTGAGGCTACGGCTAATCACTTTCATTTCCAGTAGGTAACAAGTTCAATTTTAATGTGGGTTTTTTTTTTCTGCATAGAACCATTACTTTTTTTAAATGTATAAATCAAAACTTTTCATAATAATATTTGGGAAACAATAAGAATTTAACATTTCAGCAATCCTGTGCGGAATGAAATGAAAAAATTTAAGACAAAAAAACCAAACAGTATCAATATCAGTTTCAAAGCATATATCAGTTTAAATTCTTTCCTTTTTACACTAATTCCTGACTAGTGCATCTTCTATACTTGACTTGCTTTAAATCTATTATACCTTTACATCAGTTTTATACCTAACCATGACTCTTCACTGGACACTGTAAAATTAGGTCAATCCAAGTGTTGCACCAAAATGTAAAACACAAGACTAGCTTAATTATTCCTTCCAACCTTTTTAACTCAAAACATAAATCCTTCTTTGTAGACCCTGTATTTTGTTAAATACAAATGGCAAAATACTTCTTTCTAATTTGAACCTAGATTTTACAAACTTTTCATCATTTCCACTGACGGTTTAAAGCTTTTCTCGACGCTAATTTCTGAGTAATAAATGACGCGACTAACATGGACAACACTACACTAGCAATCAACCAGTGTTCAAAATCCTCTTTCAAAACATCAAACATTTTAGATGGCTGAACTCTTGTGTGGAACATGTCTGTAAAAGAAAAAATAAATGAAACATAGAGACAAGAGGGCCATGATGGCCCTGAGGTCGCTCACCTGTATGTAGGCCCCCGGAGCGGGGCCAGTTTAAACCCCAGGGCTTTTATTTGAACAATCTTGGAAGACACCCATAAGAAGATGTTTCATGATGTTCACACTTACAATGAAAAACAATAATCTGCCCTCCCCCACCCCCGGCAGGGCCAATTTTATCCAAGGGCTTTTATTTAAACAAACTTGGTAGACACCCATAAGAAGATGTTTCATGCTAAACATCTAAGCTCTAGGTCATTGGGTTTTTTAAAAGAAGATTTTTAAGTTTTTACTATACACATATAGTTAAAAACAATGACACCCCTGGGGTGGGGCCAGTTTTGACCCCAGGGCTTTTATTTGAACAAACTTTGTAGACACTAACTAGAACATGTTTAGTTTAATATCTAAACTCTAACTATTTGGGTTTTTTCAAAGAAGATTTTTAAGTTTTTCCTATACACATATAAGGAAAATCAATGACCCCCGGGGCAGGGCCAATTTTGACCCAAGGGCTTTTATTTGAACAAACTTTGTACACACTCACTAGAAGATGTTTCATGCTTAATATCTAAACTCTAGCTATTTAGGTTTTTTCAAAGAATACTTTTTAAGTTTTTGCTATACACATATATAAGGAAAATCAATGACCCCCGGGGCGGGGCCAATTTTGACCCCAGGGCTTTTATTTGAACAAACTTGGTAGACACCCATTAGAACATGTTTCATGCTAAATATCTAAGCTCTAGCTCTTTGAGTTCTTTAAAAGAAGATTTTTTAAGTTTTTACTATATACATATAGGGAAAATCAATGACCCCCTGGGGTGGGGCCAAATTTGACCCCAGGGCTTTTATTTGAACAAACTTGGTAGACACTCATTAGAACATGTTTCATGCTAAATATCTTAGCTCTAGCTCTTTTGGTTCTTTAAAAGAAGATTTTTAAGTTTTTACTATATACATATAGGGAAAATCAATGACCCCCTGGGGCGGGGCCAAATTTGACCCCAGGGCTTTTATTTGAACAAACTTGGTAGACACTCATTAGAAGATGTTTCATGCTAAATATCTTAGCTCTAGCTCTTTTGGTTCTTTAAAAGAAGATTTTTTAAGTTTTTACTATATGTATATAGGGAAAATCAATGACCCCCTGGGGCGGGGCCAATTTTGACCCCAGGGCTTTTATTTGAACAAACTTGGTAGACACTCACTAGAAGATGTTTAATGCCAAATATCTAAGCTCTAGCTCTTTTGGTTCTTTAAAAGAAGATAATTAAAGTTTTTTCTTTCGGTTGCCATGGCAACCAGAGTTTTTAATGGAATTAAATTCTTTGAACAATTTTTAAAGGTGACCACCAAAGGAACATTCCTGTGAAGTTTGAATGAAATTGGCTTAGTGGTTTATGAGGAGATGTCATTTAAAGTAAAAGTTTACGGACGGACGGACGGACGGACGCCGGACGGAAAGCGATCACAAAAGCTCACCCTGTCACTTTGTGACAGGTGAGCTAAAAACATGGTAATCCCATTCATTGTTTTTTTTTCCTTTAAGTTTATAAGTAATTAAAATAAATGCTTTCAAGTTAGAAAACTTTCAATTAGCTAGTTTTACATAGATTAAAATCCACATTTGTTAAACATACTGACTAAATTCTGCTCCTGTCGCAATTTATCTTCTGAATAACCCAATTACCGGTTTAAACCTAAAACATTTGCAGTTTCTGTATTAACGTTTATAAATAGTTTACTTATATTACATTTTCCCTTTGATACTGTATAAAAATCAAGTTACTGAGGTTGACATACAGTATGTGCAAAGTTATTCAACATTTGAGCAGTGCATAGTAAAGTTACTGTCCAGACATGACAAACCAATGCAATCAAGCAAAGAAATTAAAACTGCCATTGTGGAGACTTAGACAAGCTAAATCAGGACAGACTTAATACAACTTGCATAAAAACAATATATAACAACTACTAAAACTAATTTACAAAGAACCTTACCTAATCCATAACATAGTACTAATGAAGTAGATTCTAGCCCTGTAGGTGATGTGTGAATTCCTTGTACATGATACAAAGTCTGGTTATAATTTATCATACCCTCTGTATGAACAGGTAACTCTGGAATATATGGGAATGTCCCCTCCTCTCTGAAAAAAGAAATTATCGCAAAATTATAAAGTTTCATTTTAATTAAAAAATGTAAAGTTATTCAATGAAAACAGAATGTTAAAAGTCTCCAACCAAAGACTGAACTTCACAAAGTTATTGTTTTGATAACTGTATTGGAAAATACTTAACTTAAAGGGTCTGCAGTGTTTGCTATTCAGTCAGTATTTATTTCGAAACTTTTGCTAAAATGTTTGAAAGATGGACAAGCCCTTTGAACCTGGTATGGCTTAAAGCTGAATGCCAAGACTCCTGCTATCTTTTATGAAGACATGCATTTTAAATGTATTTTAAAATGTGAAAATATTGTCAAGAAAGCATGTTAGGTAATGTATGCATAAGACATATTCAATGAGTCAAAATTAGCAAAAACAAACCATACTCCAATAGTTAACAGGGAAGAAAAATGGTGATGAAAACAGTATATTCAGAGAATCATTCTTTGCAAATAAAATTTTATAGTTTGATAACTGGTGCAAAAATACACATAAATTGTCACTAGAGATTGAAGACTTACTGTGTTTCCTGTGTAGGGGTTAATGGTCGTCTAGGATCCAGGAAAGCTTTTTGTAATGTAAATACTCCACCATTTTTCAAGGCAACTGAAACAGATATAAATTTGTTCACTAACTAAATATATTAAGCCTCTTTAATTATAAACTATCTACACATAACGAAGAAAAAAATCCTTGTGAAATTATAAAATATCTAAACAAAAATTGTAAAATATCTAAACAAAATCATGAAAAATCTCATAATCACAAAAATCATAAAGAACTAAAAATATCTACATTTAATTATACAATACTATAAATAGCTACACAAATAACCCACATGAAACCATGTTTCTTTATATAATGCCAGTACTGGGTAGTTTCAGTTAAGCTCTAGAAGATATATATAAAAAAAGACAGCACAACCTTTACAGAGCCAAAACCTTTGTGAAACAACAAAGATTTTGGTTATTTCTAAGAGGTGCAGTGTCTATTCTATGGTTCTAAACACAGGGAGGATTTTTATTGAAAAGTGAGAATTTATTACATTGGTTGTTCTTTTTCCTTCTTTCTCTATATAAAATTTTTCCCCCTGTCTCTGAAAAAATAGGGGGGAATTCTCAAAAATATGAATGAATTCCCCCATCCCCCCTCCTAGAATAGACACTGGAGGTGTTGTTCTAGAGAGGTTAAATTCATTGTAAAGTCTTTCTCCAGGAAGAACTGATATGTTGTAAAAATGTTTAAAAGCATAAAAAAGTTATTTCTTTACTCAGGGCTACTGCTTGTTTACACTATTTAGTGATTGCATTACAAAGGGCCTCAATGCAGAGTGTTTGCACTGTAAGTTTAAATTAATACCAAGAAGACTTACTTAAAAGGTCTTTGGTTGTAATTCCTTTCTCTGTTATTGTTGTAGTCATTGTATACATGGGTAGAGGGAAGATGAAACTCTGTCTCATCACAAGAGGTTGCTGGGGAGCCGTGAACGAGGAAAACACTGTGGCATTACTTTGGTTCTTACCCTCGTACATCTCTAACACTGCCATCTCGTGTCGACGTTGTTTTGCGTTAAAATAACTATACTGAAATTTAGAAGAGAGGTTTATTTTTCATTTACCCAAATTTCAAATACTTAAAAGATAGTTCCAGGAAATTTTTCAGTTTTCACTATTGCAGTAACTTAAAGAAGTGCCCCTAGTGCAGAAAAAAATATAAAGGCCTATTGGGTTTCATCTTTATTTCTCAAAAACTTTTAATTTTTGGTATCTTGTAACGGTTTCCAAAAACAAGAGGGCCATGATGGCCCTGGATCGCTCACCTGACACAACCGCATCCAAGCAATGTCTTTAACAAGCATCATGACCAAGTTTGATGCGACTGAGTCAAACATGTGACCTCTAGTGTGTTATAAAGATTTTTCCATATTTGGGCAATGTGACCTAATTTTTGACTGGACACGACCCATATTCAAACTTGACCTAGAAATCATCAAAACAACCTTCCTGACCAATTTCCAGGAAATTTGGATCAAAACAGCAGCCACTAGAGTGTTAAAAAGATTTTTCTATTTTTAGCTCCTGTGACCTAGTTTTTGACCAGACATGACCAATCTTAGCACTTGACCCAGAAAACATCAAAACAACATTCTTGACAAATTTCCTGAATATTTGAATAAAAACTGCAGCCACTAGAGTGTAAACAAGCTTTTTCTATTTTTAACTCCTGTGACCTAGTTTTTGACCTGAGATGGCCCATCTTCGAACTTGACCTAGAAATCATCAAAACAACCTTCCTGACAAATTTCCAGAATATTTGAATCAATACTGCAGCCACTAGAGTGTTAACAAGCTTTTTCTATGTTTAGCTCCTGTGACCTAGTTTTTGACCGGAGATAACCCATCTTCGAACTTGACCTAGACATCATCAAAACAACCTTCCTGACAAATTTCAAGAATATTTGGATGAAAACTGCAGCCCCTAATGTGTTAACAAGCTTTTCTATTTTTAGCTCCTGTGACCTAGTTTTTGACCGGAGATGACCCATCTTCGAACTTGACTTAGATATCATCAAAACAACCTTCTTGACAAATTTCCAGAATATTTAGATGAAAACTGCAGCCATTAGAGTGTTAACAAGCTTTTTCTATTTTTAGCTCCTGTGACCTAGTTTTTGACCAGACATGACCCATCTTCGAACTTGACCTAGAAATCATTAAAACAACCTTCCTGACAAATTTCCAGAATATTTTAATCAAAACTGCAGCCACTAGAGTGTTAACAAGCTTTTTCTATTTTTAGCTCCTGTGACCTAGTTTTTGACCGGTGATAACCCATCTTCGAACTTGACCTGAAAATCATCAAAACAACCTTCCTGACAAATTTCCAAAATATTTGGATGAAAACTGCAGCCACTAGAGTGTTAACAAGCTTTTTCTATTTTTAGCACCTGTGACCTAGTTTTTGACCGGACATGACCCATCTTCCAACTTGACCTAGATATCATCAAAACAACCTTCCTGACAAATTTCCAGAATATTTGGATGAGAACTGCAGCCACAAGAGTGTTAACAAGCTTTTTCTATTTTTAGCTCCTGTGACCTAGTTTTTGACCGGACATTACCCATCTTCCAACTTGACCTAGATATCATCAAAACAACCTTCCTGACAAATTTCCAGAATATTTGGATGAAAACTGCAGCCACTAGAGTGTTAACAAACTTTTTCTATTTTTAGCTCCTGTGACCTAGTTTTTGACCGGAGATGACCCATCTTCGAACTTGACCTAGATATTATCTAAGCAACCTTCCTGACAAATTTCCAGAATATTTGGATGAAAACTGCAGCCACTAGAGTGTTAACAAGCTTTTTCTATTTTTAGCTCCTGTGACCTAGTTTTTGACCAGACATGATCCATCTTTAAACTTGATCTAGATATTATCTAAACAACCTTCCTGACAAATTTCCAGAATATTTGGATGAAAACTGCAGCCTATAGAGTGTTAACAAGCTTTTTCTATTTTTAGCTCCTGTGACCTAGTTTTTGACCAGACATGACCCATCTTCGAACTTGACCTAGATAAAATCAAAACAACCTTCCTGACAAATTTCCAAAATATTTGGATGAAAATTGCAGCCACTAGAGTGTTAACAAGCTTTTTCCATTTTTAGCTCCTGTGACCTAGTTTTTGACCAGACATGATCCATCTTCAAACTTGACCTAGATATCATCTAAACAACCTTCCTGACAAATTTCCAGAATATTTGGATGAAAACTGCAGCCTATAGAGTGTTAACAAGCTTTTTCTATTTTTAGCTCCTGTGACCTAGTTTTTGACCGGAGATGACCCATCTTTGAACTTGACCTAGAAACCATCAAAACAACTTTCCTGACAAATTTCCAGAATATTTGGATGAAAACTGCGGCCACTAGAGTGTTAACAAGCTTTTTCTATTTTTAGCTCCTGTGACCTAGTTTTTGACCGGAGATGACCCATCTTCGAACTTGACCTAGATATCATCAAAACAACCTTCCTGACAAATTTCCAAAATATTTGGATGAAAACTGCAGCCACTAGAGTGTTAACAAGCTTTTTCTATTTTTAGCTCCTGTGACCTAGTTTTTGACCGGAGATGACCCATCTTCGAACTTGACCTAGATATCATTAAAACAACCTTCCTGACAAATTTCCAGAATATTTGTATGAAAACTGCAGCCTCTAGAGTGTTAACAAGCTTTTTCTATTTTTAGCTCCTGTGACCTAGTTTTTGACCCGAGATAACCCATCTTCGAACTCGATCTGTATTTCATTGAGACAAACATTCTGACAAAGTTTGATGATGATCCAATCAAAACTGTGACTGCTAGACTGTTAACAACCCAATTGTTGACGACGAACGACGCACAACGCACGACGCACAACGCACGACGACGGACGCCGGACATAGCCCCATCACTATACCTCACCATGACCACTTCGTGGTCAGGTGAGCTAAAAAATTAAGCATTTTAATATTTGCCATATACACACATGTTGATGAATTTCTGCTGCTTCTGTTGCTTTGTTGGCAATTGGTATAATATTAGTGAATTAGTATTTTCTATGGAAGTGAAAATACTACTTTGTTTACATATTGCTACCTCCAGCACACATTATTGCACATTCAGCGATATTTTCTACGGTTGCAAACATCTTACACGTTCGTCATCCATTATTAAAACATTATTAAAACAAATGCTTGATAAAGAATTGAAAATTGTGGATTTCTGATGTATATTGTACCTCTAATTTTGAATTGGTTTTTGGTAATTAAAAGTTGAAGAAAAAAAAAGAATGATAACAATAATACATGCACTTACTACAACCCAGTTTTCAGAATGTACTATATGCAACGGTCCCTGGGCTTTTCTATGGTTACCATGGAAGATCATGTGACCAGTTATCACATCTATTACATACACATTGATCACAGGATATCCTGTAAAATACAGAAAATCTCTTCATGTACACTAACTTATATCTAACATGATTCTATGTCTAAACTAGAATGTTCTTACCAGACCTGGGGTTATCATTAATTGTAATCATTGATTTTTTAATTGATTACATGATTACACTGTAATCATCATGTAATTGATTACCTTGCCCAAAATTGATTAATTTAATTGTAATTAATCAATTACAGCTAAAATTCAGTCAGTAATTATGATTACAATTTGATTGACATTGATTACTTTCAGGATTTAACAGGAAACTTTTTCAATTCAAAGGATGCCTTTGTTTTACATGAATGATGTTACAGTTTAAACTTTTGTTTTACATTTATACAGTTAAAGCCCTTAATTAAGACCAAAATCTGGGCTGGACCAAAGTGGTCTTAATTTTGGGTGGCTTAATTGCAAATATTTTTATCATTGCTTACATTCTTTATGACAATGGTCTGTTTAGTCATTTAAATCACCTATCAAATAAAAATTAATTCTTCACAAAATAAATTTGCTGAAAACTCTAAATTTTACCTTCTCACCTTATTTCATACAATAAACCAATAATAACGGTTTTTCACACCTTGTGAAATAAAGTGTCATGCAAAGCATTCAAGCAGAATGATCATAACAACAATATTTTAGATCTAGATAAGTGTTGACTTTAATATCAGTGGTCTCAATAGTGGGGTCAAATTTAGAATAAAGCAAATAATATGAACTGAATCAGGTGGTCTTAAAAAGTGGATAGGCGGTTGTTCTTAATTCTGGATCATGTAACCATTGACATAAAGAACCTTGAAAAAAATAGTCTTATTAAGGGGGTGGTCTTTATTCAGGGGTGGTTTTAAGTATGGATTCTATTTTACATTGAATGTAATCAATTATCAATCAATTACTCTCTTAAAGTAATTGTAATTTAATTGATTACAGAGGCAAGTCTGAGTAATCAATAGTAATCAATTACAATAAAACCTGAAAGTAATTGTAATTAAATCAATTACTGATCAATGTAATCATCCCCAGGTCTGGTTCTTACATAAACATACATTTAGCTGTGTGCAGTGGCTTTTTCAGCTATTTTGCTAGGCCCCTGGCATTAAATTATGAATAATTATGCAAAAAGTTGGAAAATTATTTTATATGCCAGCTTTAAATTTTAATTATGTGTGTGACCACATAACCATGTGTGTCACCACATAACCTAACACCTCTTTTTAAGAAACAAGTAACACAGTTTAATATTTCTAAAAAAAAATCCATACAATTAAATCAGAGAATCAGAGAAGAGGCATTCTATCATTTTTATATTATTGGGATTGGTGAGTACAGCCTCTTTACTCAAGATTACAGCATTGATACTCAAGATTACAGCACTGTTACTCAAGATTACAGAATTGTAACTCAAACTCATAAAACACTCGCATTTCAAGAAACTGTTGTGATACCAAATACCTAAATCTCATGTTCTCCAGCTCTACTAATCAGACATGTAGTAAAACACCAACCCATTCTAACTAAAATGGACTACATAAATAAATAATTTACCTTTCTGCTGAGACGTGGCAGGCTCTTCACCCTCTGTAGTGATTACCACAACATTGGGATTCAGATATTTATACAACACACTTCTGTCTCCTAACACACGACCTTGAGAATATGTGTGCTCTAAAATACAAGAAAAGAATAAGTACTAAGAAGAAGATATTGAATGAGTGTAGGTTTAATTCTGATTTATTAACAAGTTGAATCAATTATATTATGCGAGCCTCTGGTGAGCATAATATTATTTTATTTTACGGGTTCAATAAATTCAGTAATGAGCTTACACGAATTTAATATTCTATTTTTCAAATACTAAAAAATAAAGACTGTTAAAATGAAAAAGAGTCATTTTCCGTTGACGCGCCTATAGTAGAACGCTAACATTGAGCGCGTCTTTACACTATGTTTGCATAACGCTAATGACGTCACGTCAAAATATATGCACGGCCGTGCAATACCATTTTTACAGAGTCACAAAAGCAGCACTGATATGTGCAAAAAAATATTCTGAAACTATTTGTTGAGGATATGTAATTCATGTTATCAATGTTATCAATTATTATTATCAATTCACTAAAAATAGATGGAATTTATGTTTTCAACATAATTATCAATGCAATAAAAATATATGTCATTGATGTTGTTAAAGCACAAAAAATAGACAGAATTTATGTCATTAATGCCTTTATCAATGCAATAAAAATATATGGAATTTATGTTCTAAACATAATTAACAATGCAATAAAAATCTCATTCATAAACACAAAAGCGACAAGAGTTAAGAATTGTCACAGAGGCCTTATTTTGTATATATGATCTGAACACAAAAACAAAGCTCTTGGTGAAAATAATACTTCTGAGGAAGTATGATTGAATTCCCATGAGAAATATAGCAGTTGCGTACATAATAAAATGTTTGCCAACAGTCACAAATCTAATAACAGAAAATCTGGTTTACAAAGTATAAGTATACAAAAGTGTATATTACCATGGACTGATTTAGCTACAATGTTGGTAATTTTGATATTCTGCCTCTGATTCTGTAAATTAACTGTCCATACACTGTCTGCTGATAACTGAAACATAAATACAATAATTGAGCCGCGTCATGACAAAACCAACATAATGGGTTTGCGACCAGCATGGATCCAGACCAGCCTGCGCATCCGCGCAGTCTGATCAGGATCCATGCTGTTCGCTTACAAACCCTAGGACAAGTAGAGAAACTCATAGCAAACAGTATGGATCCTGATCAGACTGAGCGGATGCGCAGGCTGGTCTGGATCCATGCTGGTCGCAAACCCATTATGTTGGTTTTGTCGTGACGCGGCTCATATTCTCATGCATACAATTATTAAAGCAGGCTTCACCTTTTCTCAAGGTTAAATTTGTTATTTTAAATAAAACGTTCCATATAATTGTCAAATCAAAAGAAATGAAATTTGTCATCAATATAATACATAAACGATAAGGAAACCCCTAAAGGCGGACGACTCATTTCCCGATCTTATATTTTTAGAAACAAAATTCACTCACATGTTATAAATAGCTCTTGGGACACTATGTTGAAGACGACTTAACAGTGACATAATGCACTTTTTCAAGATTAAATTACTGAAATACTTAGTTTGGAACAACAAAGAATTGTTTTAACAACAGAGAATTGTTTTTCCAACAAAAAACAAGAAACATGGCAATGCCACAAAACCAGGTTTTCAATTATCACCATTGTAGATAAATATGTTGTATTTGAAATACAAATACAAGCAACAACAAAATGTAACTATGTGCAATGTAAAACATGAATAATGTAGGAGGAATTGCCACAGAAGAAGTGTTCACTATATATTCTGTATAAGGAAAAAAAACAAAGGGCCATAATTAGGTCAAATATTATCCAATCACAAAACCCCAACAATATGCACCAGGGCACTTGATAACAAAGCTTCTGTAAAAGTTTGGTCAAAATCCGTTGAGAAATGTAGGAGGAGTTCAGCACAAGAAATTGTTCACTATATAAATTATTCTATATAAGGAAAAAAAACAAAGGGCCATAATTAGGTCAAATATTATCCATTCGCAAAACCCCAACAATATGCGCCAGGGCACTTGATGACAAAGCTTCTGTGAAAGTTTGGTCAAAATCCGTCGAGAAATGTAGAAGTTGCGCACAGAAGAAATTGTTAACGCCTGTCCGCCCGCCTATCCGCCCGCCCGCCGACATACCTCAATCTAATAACCAGTTTTTTCCTTCGGAAAACCTGGTTAATAAAATGAAGCCCATTTTAATTTTCATGCAATACATTCTTTAACAGTATTGTATATTATATTGCACACTTTAACATTACAAATTGACACTTTGCTTTTGTTCTTACCTTATTTTGATTGAGAACCAATCTGTATCCGCTCAGTAGACTGTTATCAACCTCTGCCAGGTACAAATAAATAGATGATCTATGATTCTCTACAAATTTCTGGGCACTGGTTGGGTAGGTGTGTATCTGCAATAAAATAAAGTGTTCACATCATTAAAATTTGTTGCAATTTGTAACACATTGTATTTCTTAAGATAATAATATTTTTTTGGTGATCTTAACATAAAACATTGCAAGTATATTTACACTAACCCTTCATCTACTGGAACTGAAAAAGATTAGCCTTTACCATCAGTATAGAAATAGGCTAAATCCTGTTTGTAAACTCATATGTTAAGTCCATAAATCATCATTTTAATGCAGCAATGGATTAATTACTATTTTTTTAATTATTAATTTAAAAGTTTCCTCTCTATTTCATAATCTATTACATTTATCTGTTTATTTACCAAAAGCAAAACCTATTGAATTTTTTTATTGATTCGGTTTAACATCACACGAACACAGTATAGGTCATGGTGACTTTCCAGCTTTACTTGTGTATAAAGACCTCTGGTACCCTTCTGTGTATTAGTTCAGGCACAAACAGGCACCTGAGTAGAACCACTGGGGTTCCATAACCTAGCTGAATACCTTTCTTACATGAAAAATCCAAAGATCTGGCGCGGCTCAAATCTACAGCAGAGAAAGACTCGGCGATGGACGCACCTAACAACAGATATTACATAAACTGTTAGTAGAAGGCAAAAGCTATTTCGGTTACATTATTATCCAACATTTGGTAATATTTATTGATTCATTAAGTTTAATATTACTTAATCAACAGTACATACCGTGAAACTATCATCTAACATAATCAAGGCCTTCATAAAATGCTCGTCCCATTCTCCCAGTAAAAATGCTTGCTGAATATTGTACGGCAGATGTAGTCCACCAGGGGGCATCTGTGCAACACTGTGGCCACTGATAGGATCAAACGCAAACAGCTGCCCACGTCCTGAAGCCTAAAGTATACCAAATGCAAAACATAAACTTCCCATTTATCTTTCCTGTTGTTGCCATATTGTAAGTATTTTTCTTACATGCCTATAAATTTTCTCTCATTTTTGGAACTGAATAAATACAAAGATACAGATCTGTTCTTGTTGATTACATAAATTTGTATTCTTGCATGCAATCAATTAGAGCAATACAGCCCATCAGAAAAATGACAATCATGTTAAATTCCCTATATATGTTAATTATATTGAAAAGAAGTGGAGGTTAAGTCAAGTAGTTAACGCTTCAAACTAGTAATCTAAGAATTGCTGACTGCATAGGTTCAAATTCCCATTAGGGGCAAGTCTTGTTACCTTGATCAAGAAACTTTACATTCTTTACTTAGTACTGGTTGATTCCATGAACAGATTCAAGAGAGTTTCAATCTGCTTATAGCTTCCAACACAATAACACTAAAATTAATTTGTATAAACTAATTATATTCAAACAAAATACTGGCTTTTAAAATGCCAGAGACAACTTAATTTGACACTTAATATTATAAATTTCTTTGATAGCAAAATATAAGCTGTAAATTGCTGTATAAATGAGTTATAACAAACTTGACGAATAGAGTAACCTACCCTGTTCCTTCCCAGTACCACACACTGTGGTGGGTTCGGGAAATGAGCTGTCGTTCTTTGTACATGCAGTAACACTTTCTCCCTCCCAAATCTATCAAAGGGACCTAACTCTGGAAGAAAATGCTGCCAGAGTAAATGCCCATTGACCGTCTTCATTCCAACAATCTGTTAAAACAAGAAAAAAATGTTATTATCTAACTGATAATCTTCCTGACTTTGACATTATGCCCATTTTTTCACTGTCAAGATGTGCTGAATTAGCTATATATTTCAAACAAATGACTTTTAAAAATTATGACTGACCAAAACTGTTCAGGATAACATGTAAATCTGCCTTAAATATAAAAAGACTGCCCCACTCATTTTATAAATTGAATGTTACATGTAAATTCCTATGGATATTTACAGAAATTTAATTGGGCCATGTAAATAATTTATTGTTCATACAAAGTAAATGACAGAATTGAAAGGATTCATGGCAAAATGTAAACTTCTTTGATTTTCACCTGTTTACTCACTTTATATCTTTGGATGGACATAATGTCACTATAACTAGAGATCATAATTATGCTTATCACTATGAAGTGTTGATTACATCAGAACTATTTGTTGAAAATCACACAAAACCTCAAAATAACAAATGTGTACATCATCATTTCATGTCTTTCACATTTTTTAATATCTCCCTCTTCAATTACTGATATTTCTACGTTTTATCATCATTTGTTTGTATCATTTGTTTGTATGTTGCTATCACCAAAATAAATAAACTTAGAACAGGTAGTTATACCTTGCCAGGACTGGTTACTATGACGATGATTTTATGAAGACTAAATTCATCTCGTAACAATTCTTCATCTTCAGTATCATCATCATCCCCCTCCTCTATCACAGTATGATGTTTTACTCCCTGTAATCTATGTAACTGCTGTATGATAAATGTCTGAAATATATTTAATGCACTGATGACACTACAATTATATGACAATATATTATGACATATATATGATGTTGACATTATAAATATAGTGATCATGACATTGATAGCCATTAAAATACAGTAATGGTGACAAAACAAAATGTAGCAATGATGACATTACAAATGTAGTAAAGATGACATTACGAATATTGTGTTGATGTCATTACGATTATTATGATGATGACATTACAAATATTGTGTAATGTCATTATGAATATTGTGATGATGACATTACAAATATTGTGTTGATGTCATTACGAATATTGTGATGATGACATTACAGATATTGTGATAATAACATTATGAATATTGTGATGAAGGATGACATTATAAATATAATGATATTGTCATTATAAATATAGCAATGACGCCATTACAAATATTGTAATGATGACATTACGAATATTATAATGATGACATTATGATTATTATGATGATGACACTATAAATATTATGATGATGACATTACAAATATTATGATGATGACATTACAAATATTGTGATGATGATATTACAAATATTGTGATGATGATATTACAAATATTGTGATGATGATATTATGAATATTGTGATGATGACAATATGAATATTGTGATGATGATATTAATAATATCCTGCTTATCACATTACAAACATTAAGATTAAGTACTGATGACATTGAAATAAAGTGCTTATGATGATATGACAAATAGAGTTAGGATGACATTAAACACATTTTAAACACAGTTTTTCAGAATGCTAATATTTTCAAACAAAGGGTGCAACGGCATTTCCACTTTTCTTTCTCTGCTCATGAAGTCCCAAGATAATTCTTGGAATGAAAAAAGACTGAGGATAAAACAATTTTATTATTTAAGTTACCTGTAATTGTGAGAGTTGAGTTTTCACCCTCTTTACAAACATGGTCATAACATTGTCTTCATGTGAACCAAACTCGTCCTCAAACTTGGCCTGGTTCTCAGACACAGGAAGGTCAACCATTTCTACGGCAACAGTGTAAGCCAAGAACTCATCTCTTCTCCATGCTACTTTACCTGTACACAAAATATTTACAACTTAATATTTATTAGATAGGATAATCAAAAAATTATGAACTTAAAAATTGCTATCTCATCTCTACATCTCCAGGTTTGTTTGGGGGGTTTTGTTGTTGGGATCTGGCTATTGTCAATTTAAGGGATGCAACAGTCCAAATACCAAACAACACATACTAATATATATTTGTGTAATACATTATGCATTGAAACTGGATATGTGAAACAGCAATTTTTTCATATTTACTCACGACTTACCAACTACACCAGATTCTCAGCACAATTAAAGCAGAGGTTGATTTCTAGATAGAATCAATGACCTACTAATTAGCCAACTTGATGGCTTTCTTAATTACAGGAAATATACACCTGGAGCAGGTAAAAAAACCCCAAAGACGTGATGTGCTAGTGATTCAGGGGCCCTTACTACTGGTCCTCATTCTATAAAAGATGTTAAGATATATTCATAACAGTATATACGTAACTATAATTACCTGATTTATGAAAGAGTTGGACAGCATAATCCTCAGACAGTAGTGCCAGTTTATATGCCATTTTTCCATCTTTTCTCTGACCAAGAACACATGTTACCTGTAAATTTTCAATATAACCATGTGACACTCATTGTACTTATTAAACATTAAAGCCTGTTATATGCCAGAATTTTTTTTTTTATTTCTCTAAAGCTTTTTATTTTTGATGAGTTTCCTTAATGTTACTTGTTGCTTTTAATTTTATTTCTCTAAAGCTTTTAATTTTTGATGGTGCAGAGTTTCCTAAGTGTTACTTATTGGCCAATTTGCTGAACAATCTTTTGCTTCTTTTGCCTTTTAATACTTAGTCACACAGTAGAAATATGGTGATAAATACTACAAAATCGTATGTAACATGTAAATTATTACTAGAATCTTTTTGCTTTTTTCAAAAAAATATAAGTACATTATTCTCAAATTTGATTTTCTTGAAATATAATGGCTCTGCTGGAGGGATGCAACTTTAAAAATTGACTCCTTAACCTGTGAATTTCGTCATTAATAATAAGCATTCTGACATCCATTATTTTCAGTATTTGTCTGGTAACTACTCCTTGATTCATGTATTTTTTAGACACAAAACCACGAATAGTAAGTAAGTAAGTAACAACTTTATTAAATGAGGCCAACACATCTTCCATGTGGGCGTTAATAATGAAACAAAGAAACAATGAAATACCTGTAAAGGTCGGCCATGATGTTTCATGTAGTGTATTTTATGATTGGCCTCGGATAATTGGTCCCCTGTATTTGTCTCATACATATTCACTGTCAATTCCTGTATAATAGAGAAATCTTCTTATTCTATCTGCTACAGCATTTCATCACCTTAGTGCAGTAATGGGTTTACTCCTATTGACTTATATAAGGAGTTAAACGGTTACTGCACCAAGGTGAAGATACGGTTATCAATAGCACTTATCCAAATTTCCGCAAATATTGGTCTTTCCGAGTTAAATCACCCGTTACAAACAAACTTTTACCATTATAGCTTCACACTGCACTACAGTCACAATAGATTTTGTAAAGCTGTTGTGCTTAATTTTCAAGTTGTAACTGTAAAAGTTTGTTTGTACCTTCTGATTAGCTTGGAGAAAGCAAAAATAAACTTTTTTATAAATTTCGCAGTTTAAGGTCTATTAATCAACAGTTGTATTCATATAACAGTGGTCCTGGTAACTAAGATTTTATAGCCAATTCTTTACATTAATCAAGAAACATATAAATAAGACCTAAAATAAATATTTGATATTTGCTGCTTCCAATAAACCTCTAAAAATCCTAACAGTACAATTTGTTTACTATCTGAGAAGCAATGCGCTCAACTTTTCTCAGGTCTTGATGAAAGCAAAAGCAAAGTAGAAAAGGATGTATAATTCTAATAAACTGTTTGGCAGCTGTTTTTTATTTCTTTTAAAAAAAAAAAAGTGGAGCTTAAAATTGATATTGTAGATGAAAAGAAGTAGACAGCTTTACACTATTTCAGGCATGACTGAGAATCACAGTTAAACCTTACACCACTCTACAACATTTTATTTATTAAGACTATTAACATCTTCTCTCAAATTTTTATCAGCATATTGCATCAAAATTAATTTATTTTCTATTAAATTTAAGGTAGTAAAATACCTCATGCCCTGTCTGTTCCAAGCTTATAATGTAATCTTTGCCCTCATACTGCACAGTAGATGCTATTACACTCTGTAATACAAAAGTTAAGTTTTTTATGTTTTGTTGGTTTTGTCTGTTTGTTTAAAGTCAAACCAACATAAAAAAATATTCATAAGGGATCTGGTGATGGCGGAATGTCATTTTTTTGCATTATTTCACCCACCAATGGACACCAGAGTAGAACCACCAACCTTCATTAAGCTGGAGAGATAGCTTTGCCACATGAAATAAAAACAACCTTACTTACTCAATTAACTGATGATTGATATTTGAATATTTTCTTCAGTTTTGATCTTTGAGAATACTTAAAAAAAGTATTACTTTATCATTGCATATTACCCTCTTTCTTCTTTTGAATTGGAAAATTTAAATCTTATTTCTTAAATCCTCTCTATATTCAGTAACCATAATATACTGTACACACCTTTGGTAGATCTTTCATCACAATGACTTTTCCATTGTCCTTGACTGTCACAAGAATTGTACGATCTTTGTTTATTTGAACAGCCTCCCCTTTCATACTTGGAGAATATTGTTCGATCCATCTTGACTCCTCAGTTATATCATGACCTAAATCCTGTAAAAAGATTTGACGATTGGCATTGTTTATTGACTAGTTTTCTCTTCAAAGTATAAATGAAATATACTTCAATATCAAAATAATAGCCGGACAAGAAAAATGTACAAAACTTTTAAAGCGGTCTGCATGATATAACAATAAATTTCTATAACTATTGTTTTAAATGTATCGGTGGCGTTCAATTGTAATACATGTAATAGAGAGTGTGGCATTTTTTTTCTAATTTACGTAGCTTTCATATTATATCCTAAATTAATATTTTTCATTTTCAATTAATGGTCAATCACCATTTAAGGTATTAGGACCCTAATGGGTACTATCAGGAACTAAAGAATTGACATCATAGGTCAGATGTATACCTTAAAGTACACCTGTATGCAAAATTTAAACAAAGTTTACCGTACGGAAATCAAGTTATGGCCACTTTTCTGAACTCAAGCTAGGATGTTATGAGGGCCCTTTTTTAGAAATGAGGAACCTTTAAATAATCTGCAATAACATTCTAATGAAAAATGTTTTCCCATAAATTTTTGGTAAGAAAAAAATAGTACCATTCAATTCACAATCCACATAAGCAAAATTATGGTTTCTACTTAAAATTTATGAAATCTGTATAAAAATGTTACCCTACCCCACCCATTTTTACTACATGTCTGACCATTTTTCTACTTAGGGAGCCTAATTCAAAAAATTCTTAAAATTTACCCAAATGAGTGCCTGTTTTCAAAGTTTCCCTAAATTTTTAAAAAAGTATATTGGTTGATCTTGTAAAATATGAAATACTTTTACCGTCTAGTTTTGATTATATTACACTTTGAAAATATCAGGTACAATATTTATTACTAGATTTAGCATAATTTAGCCAATAAATACCTATATAAATTAAAAATTCAAAATTAAACACTTTTTTCTTTCCATATGGGACATGAGAGATACATAAATAATGTTAAAAGAAAAAAAGAAAGAAAAAAAAAGTTGACCCTTCTGGGGATTGAACCCATGGCCCTCATTTTTAATGTAGTTAACAGTAATTCTAGCCTATTTAAATACTCTTCAAAGCGGAGGTAATGCATTAGGGTGCTAATACCTTAAAGTCCATCTTTTGAAACATATTATAATTCAGCTTAACTTGACAGCAAAATTTAAGCATAATGTCACTTTAAGGTTTAATGGTGGAGGAAGACATTGGTGCCCCTCTGTGCATTTTTTCAGGCATAAGCTACATTCCATAAGCTATCTGAATTGCAGCTGCACAATTTTGGCAAATAAAATAATACAATTGTGTTTAATATATTTGAATGTAATAGCTTTGTATGTATGGAAATAAATGAGCATAAATGAAAATGTAACCAAAACAGGTAACTTAATGTGAACAGCAAGCAGTCTTAAAGAATTAACTAATATGTAAAACATTACCTGAGCTGATGTGGATACAAAGCCCTGCGGTGATTTAAGATTAAGGACATGAAATGACGAGGACATCCAACATATACACATCAGATATTTCTCTTCCACTATCCGACACCTATGAAAACAGATACACAAATGTAGAGGATCATTTATTATGAAAAAATGAAAATATAAAATAGCAGAAATGTGTAATGTACACAATTTTCAAAGCCAGGCCTCAAATTGTTTTTGAATAATTTCAACCTTGGTATTACTATTAATATTAACATTGAATGTCATGCTTGAGAAAAACTGTGAATTCATTTGATTTTGTGTGCATGAAAATTTGTTTTTGTCAAAAAGGACATTTTCATGGGTTCTCAAATTCATAAATTCTCTGGGTTTTTTTGCAATTAATGTAACAGCAATAACTGAAAGAAAACGATATAAAGTTTCCTTTGTATTCATGAAATCCATGAAAAGTCAGTCCCCCACAAATAAGTGATTTTGCAGTATCTGCCCATTCCGTTAATCAAAACAAATAACATATACTTACTTTGTATCCTTTCTTAAGAAACCAGCCAAGACAGGTTTTGTTGAAAGAACGGCTCCATCAAGTCCAATTGAAATGACCTTGACCTCTGACCCTGCTGTCATGCCAACCACATAAATTTTCCCGTCAAACACTTGCAGTTTATTATAGTTGACTGTATCACTGTAACGAATTTCAAAATATAGATTAAGTGAGTGATTAAAGTGTATACAACTTATTTAAGTTTTTTTTGGATTTTACATTGAAGGTCCTATGGAAACTCTTCAGCATTACTCGTGGAGGAAGACCTTAGGTGCCTCAATGGAACCACCAACATTCCATAAGCTAACTGGATAGCTTTCTCACATGAAATAATTTGAAGATGTTGGCGTGGATCAAACCTACAGTGGTGAGAGGCAAGTGGTTTGAAGTCAACAACCTTAACCACTCGGTCATGAATGCATCTTGTATTGCAGCAAATATTCTCCCATTATTATTTCCTTATTTCCTTTTCTTTCAAGTATACCAAGTGAACCAATCTATTTTACAGGTGTAATGATACCAATAAATTGTTGGAACATGGATTGGTTAATGGAATGACTATTAACTCATACATGTTCCTAATCACCGATCCCTGGAGGTAATTGTCAACAAAAATAACATATTCATATTATGATAACTCTCATCAGCATGAAAATTTCAGTTGAATCTTAAACTATTTTGTACATTATTTCAAGCACAAGTGGGAATTTCAGAAGAATTTACACCATTCTGTACATTATTTCATGCGCTATAGGGAATCTGGAAAGACCCTTACACCACTTTGTTCATTGTTTCAGGATGAGTGAGAATCTCAGAAGCATGTAATTGTAACACCACTTTGTACATTATTTCATGCACAATTAGGAATAACTCTGTACATTAAAACAGCGGAGGAAATCTCAGTAGAACCACCAACATCCCTTAATCTTGCTGAATAACTCTCACATGACAGTATCAGAAGCTCCTTGTGGTATTCAAACCCATAGTGGTGAGGATTTAAAGTCAATGCCTTAACAAGAAGGCCATGAAAGCTATTCCAGGGTTCTCAGGGACGCTTATTTCGGCGTCCCGGTACGCATGTTTATTACAGCTGGACGCAAATATTTCAGAGCAAGGATTCCACGTACGCTTAATTTTGCCTGGGGACGAATAAACATTACCGATTGTTTACAGCCACAAATACACAAATGCATCAGAGCGTGTCAGTCTATAGGTAGGCAGTCCTATGCACATCGACCCGTGAAGCGATTAGCCAATCAGCGATAATGCTTCCGATCATTGATCAGACTAATGTATACACGCGCTGTACAGTACATGTAATTACCAGATATAATACGAGGTGATAATTTTATATCTTTGATCAACAGTTGATTGGAAATTAGCAAATTTTACCGACAAAGGGATAAAAATATCGACTATTTACGCCGCAAGTTTAAAGACTGTTTCTCAAAATACAAATGAGTGTAATTTTGAATGATTGTCGAATATTTTCGGCATTTTCTAGGCACAATTTTGCTTTAGTTTCATTCTTGCAAAAACTTTATATAAGAGTATTAAGAATTTAAGATATTGTGCCGAAATGCCAGGACAACAAACCAAAATACACATATGCTTTTCTTTGATATCTAGATTCTATCCGAAAATTGATCCCGAACATCGGCGATTTCACGTTCGCCAGAAACCTTAAAATTTCGCAAAAATTCTCGGTTTCCAAGCCAAACATGCGAATGAATTGTTCCTTTATTATTTAATCAACATTAAATCTTTAAATATCAATCTTCAATTTGCCCCCTTTTGAAGATATTTGCTAAAATAATTGTCGATCAGAAATCTCTTACACACTGTGTGACGCTGTACACGATTTTCCTATTCATTCCGCTAAACGCTGCCTATATACTTTTACGTTTTTTTTTTACAAATATAAACTTTTTGTCTTTAGAGTGGACTTATTTAACCAGAATAAAATTTGATTTGGTATAATGGTATAAAAGTGAAAAAAAAAACGATTTCCATGTGTTGATGCATTATAATGAAATAATTTCATAATAAATTACTAACAACAAAACAATAATTATAGAATCTACTATGTAGTTCAAAGTTTCTTTTGAATAACTATAAACTTTGGAAGACTCTTGAAGATTCAAAATATCAGCAATGCTATTGTGAGCATTGAATGACTAATCTGTAAACATATTAATTGCGACAAGCTTTTGGACTCCCAACTTTTTCAGGGTTGGGAGTCCATGGACTCCATGTTTTAAAGTCCTAGTGAGAACCCTGTATTCTAGTACATAATAAAACTTCCTTTTGAAAAGATAAAATTTTATATCTATAAATTTCCATTATACCTGTTAGATAATTCAACATCCCAAGCCTGGCTACCGTCTCTCATCTGTAGGGCATAAACTTTCTCTGCTGTGAGAGCTACAACAAGTCCACTCTCTCCAACAAACTGTACCACACCTCTGTAAATTTATCAATAAAAAACAAATATTTCAATCCTGAAGAGTTCAAATAAATTAAACTTTATCTATCATGGTTTCACACTCTCTGAAGTCTTGCTCAAATGGGAAGTTTAAAGGAACTCCACTGAGATTTTTTGACTAAACTGAATAACCAATTGGAAATCATTTTTTCGAGATTAATGTTCCACTTGAGGTAGGTCTAGACCAATAACTTGTGTGCAAAATTTCAGTACATTTGCTCCTTCTGTTTTTCCAATAATTATCTAATTTATAAAAATGAACAAAAATTGACAGCTTTTCTCTGAAAAAGGCTTAACAGTAACACAAAAATATGATTTTCAACTTATTTCTGAGGCTGTTTGCACGTCGTTCTCTTTTAAGTGCCTCAGATATCTTATGTTTACAAGTAATTCAAATTTTATGTTTTCAGGTTTTCTTACCTAAAAAAGCCTTTAAGGATTGTAGAATTTTTTTATCAATAGCATTAAATGCTGTTGCACTAAAACTAAAAGGTGTATGTTAATTGTTATCTAACATGATGGGTCATCACATTCAAAAATTATAGCCATAATTTTAAGTTCAACTCAATCACTACTTTTTACATTTAATGTAATTATTAGTAAATTTACTCTAATACAGGGTTTTCATTTTTATCTGAGGCAACAGAATGATACTCAAAAGAAAACAATTGATTTTGCCAAGGGTGACACTTTAATATACAGGCTGAAAATACAACCAATTTTAACAGCATTTTAACCGATGGTTCGAAACGCCAATTGGTTAATAATGAAAACCCTGGTAATATTCATAAAAAATAATATTAATTTTCAAATAATAAAGGTAAATGATTTTTTTGTTAATTTATTTACTTATGTTTGTCACTGCCATCTAGGTATGACTCCCATTGCAGGTTTCCGGATCCTGGGCTCCATGCAGCGACACGACGACCACCCAACACAGATACCAAAATATCTCCATTATAGATCATATCATCCACCTCCCCTCGACGCCCCTCTTCAAACACTTTCCTCCAAACTGAAAAAAATAGTTTAACATTTTTGTTTTTCAAACAAATTATATTTATATTCCAAAGAAAATTAAAATCCAATGTACAGTTTATGTTATTTTCGATTCAAATTATTTCATATTACTTTTTATTGGCATGTAATGACCTACATGTATTAGTGTTTCAAATGACTGCTTCATGAATGTTGTAATTAAAGCTATTTGCATTTAGAATAATGTATGATAATTGGTTTAAATAAAAAAAAGGCTTTAAACTAGATGTGTCCATAGGACACGGGTGCCCCCACCGCGCCACTGTTCTGTCAATCTTTTTACTAAGTCAAGGGAAATAACTCTACAAATACTGGATAAATCCACAAGCGAAACCCCAGGTGCAAATCTAAATATGCTGAGCAACCTGCCCATAAGGTTTAATGACTATGTCAAATCTTTTTTGAGTAACTTGCGACACAAGTTGAAAATTGCAAAAATTTTCTAAGTGAAGGGCAATAACTCTAACAAGAACTGTCGGAGGACAGTAACGCTCGACTATTCGAAAATTTGTCACAAGGGTGTTTCATTGAGTATAATAATGCTTACCTATATGAATACATAAAATTGTCCGAAAAGGTACAAACTCTTCAAGTTTCAATACATTCCCTTCAGTAGTTATGGAGAGACAAGCTTACATGCAAAAACTTTACCAAGAATTCATGAGTCGAAAAAGGGGCATAATTATGCAAAAAAAGCAAATCAGAGTTATGGGACTTGTACCAATCATCTTAGATAATCACAGAGACCAAGTGTGTGAAGTTTCAATCCATTCCCTTCAGTAGTTATGGAGATACCAGCTTACATGCAAAAACTTAACCAAGAATTTCTAAGTCGAAAAAGGGGCATAATTATGTTAAAAAGCAAATCAGAGTTATGGGACTTGTGCCAATCATCTTAGATAATCACAGAGAACAAGTGTGTGAAGTTTCAATCCATTCCCTTCAGTAGTTATGGAGATACCAGCTTACACGCAAAAACTTAACCAAGAATTTCTAAGTCGAAAAAGGGGCATAATTATGTAAAAAAGCAAATCAGAGTTATGGGACTTGTGGCAATCATCTTAGATAATCACAGAGAACAAGTGTGTGAAGTTTTAATCCATTCCCTTCAGTAGTTATGGAGATACCAGCTTACACGCAAAAACTTAACCAAGAATTTCTAAGTCGAAAAAGGGGCATAATTATGTAAAGAAGCAAATCAGAGTTATGGGACTTGTGCCAATCATCTTAGATAATCACAGAGAACAAGTGTGTGAAGTTTTAATCCATTCCCTTCAGTAGTTATGGAGATACCAGCTTACACGCAAAAACTTAACCAAGAATTTCTAAGTCGAAAAAGGGGCATAATTATGTTAAAAAGCAAATCAGAGTTATGGGACTTGTGCCAATCATCTTAGATAATCACAGAGAACAAGTGTGTGAAGTTTCAATCCATTCCCTTCAGTAGTTATGGAGATACCAGCTTACATACAAAAACTTAACCAAGAATTTCTAAGTCGAAAAAGGGGCATAATTATGAAAAAAAGCAAATCAGAGTTATGGGACTTGTGCCAATCATCTTAGATAATCACAGAAAACAAGTGTGTGAAGTTTCAATCCATTCCCTTCAGTAGTTATGGAGATACCAGCTTACATACAAAAACTTAACCACAGGGACGCCGACGCCGACGCCGACGCCGACAAATGGGTGACTGCATTAGCTCGATTATTCTGCGAATAGTCGAGCTAAAAATACTAAATAAATCCAGACAAAAATAACTGGTGCACAACTGCACATGCTGATCAATATTCCTGTAAAGTTACATGACTCTAGGTCAAATACTTTTTGAGTTACATGCGACACATGTTGAAAATTGCAAAATTTTACTAAGTCAAGGGCAATAACTCTTAAAACACTAAAAATATCCAGACGAAAATACCCAGGTGCACAACTACACATGCTGATCAACATTCCTGAAAAGTTTCATGACTCTAGGTCAAATACTTTTTGAGTTACGTGCGACACAAGTTGAAAATTGCAAAATTTTACTAAGTCAAGGGCAATAACTCTGAAAATACTAAAAATATCCAGACGAAAATACCCAGGTGCACAACTACACATGCTGATCAACATTCCTGTTAAGTTTCATGACTCTAGGTCAAATACTTTTTGAGTTTCATGCGACACAAGTTGAAAATTGCAAAATTTTACTAAGTCAAGGGCAATTACTCTGAAAATACTAAAAATATCCAGACGAAAATACCCAGGTGCACAACAACACATGCTGATCAACATTCCTGTAAAGTTTCATGACTCTAGGTCAAATACTTTTTGAGTTACATGCAACACAAGTTGAAAATTGCAAAATTTTACTAAGTCAAGGGCAATTACTCTGAAAATACTAAAAATATCCAGACGAAAATACCCAGGTGCACAACTTCACAAGCTGATCAACATTCCTGTAAAGTTTCATGACTCTAGGTCACATACTTTTTGAGTTACGTGCGACACAAAAGTGAACGGACGGACGGACAGACGGACGGACAAGGGTAAATCTAAATGCCCGCCACTAACGTGGGGGCACAAAAATGATCAATAAACAAGAGCGATCAGTAATCACATGTGTCGCCTTATGATGGCCAATTTCATGTTGGGACAAATTTTGTGACAGACGGACAGTGCACAACTAGACTAACCACTTTGTACTGATCATTCCTGTAAAGCTTGGAAAAAATTGCACCAGTAGTTTATGAGGAGTAGTCTGGACAAGCTTTTGCGTATCTGGCAACACACAGAAAAAAACACCTTTTATCAAAGGACCATAACTCGGCCAAAACGGACGGACAGACAGACAGACGGACAGACAGACGATGGAGAAGTGATCCCTATATGTCGCCACTACTCCGTAGAGGCGACACAAAAAGCTGAAACTCCTTGAAAGTTATTTCCTTTTTCTTTAAGAAGTATCTGTTTTGGGACAAAATAGAACAATTTCTTTTTAAAAGTCCTTCTTTGTAGTAGAAAACTATTATTGCTGTGATATAAACCCTTACTAAGTTTTCCATTAGCTGTATTCAATGAAGCTATGACATTTTTCTCAGATGACACAAACAATTTCTTTCCACCTGCTGAGCCCCCGACCTGCTCCCAGTATGCAGTTTTATACCTTCCTATATACTGCTGCCGCCTGAAATTCAAGAAAATTACTCACTTGAAAAAAAAGAAGTTTCGTATCAAAACAGTTTACAATACAACGCGACAATCATGCTGTCCATTATTTACTAAAGCACAAGTTGGTTGGATAGATATGCCAATCACCAAGCTTGTATTCCAAAAGAAGCAAGATGCCTTGTACGGTGTGAAAAAGCATCGGTTTGTATTGATTTATTTGTGCTGCCGGAGATGGTACATAAATGAAATTTACACATTGTAAATATTAAAAAGCGGCTTATAAAGTTTTAGCCAGAACTAGGGGAGGGGTAGCTTAAGGTCTTCAGCTACATGTACCATAGAATTTTAGAATGCGTTTCATGGAACATGCAAACTTTCCTTAATGATGGACAAATTTCTATTGTTGGTAATTGACCCAATTATCAGAGCCCAACAACAATTATTTCCGGTGTTTTTTTTTTTCATTTTTAAAGGTGTTGAAAATTAAACTTAATGAAACTAAAAAGGATTATTATCACTATTTCAATTGATGTTATTAACGCTCTTTTTTTTCTCGCCGTCTGGATATTCGTACTTTCTTTACTGTAGCCGACATGGCGATTAATCTCTAAAAAGTAAAAGTAAACATACGAAGACAATTGCTGTTTCTTGGTTAAAATCCTTACTTAAAGTCATAATATAACATTTGCATTTAGCCAATATTATACATTAGCCAATACAGTGCATTAGCCAATACAGTGTGTCCTGGCTAGCCGTACATGACTCACGTACGGCTAGAACTTTTGGCTAGGCACTTCCACTATATATAGTTTTATCAAGGTAGTCTTCACTTTACTTCATGGCATGTTCGATGAATGAATACCAACATGTCAGATTCCTGGCACGATTATTGGTGGACTTTCCCTACCCGCTATTGGTCTGTCTTCAGCGCTCACGTCATGTCATAGTATATATTATATAAACGGGTATGCTGAAGACCCTAAGCTACCCCAGTCCCGTACCCAATATCATCTTAATTCCTACTTTCCTAGAACTCTCAGGTATTGGAATAGCCTTCCATATCAGGTCAAATCCAGTCCCAGCCTAGATGCCTTCAAGGATAGGCTGGCGACAGACACCTTCTAGTCCCCACCCCCAGTATGTTTGTAATCTTGCACTCTTTCTTTTATCTTGCACCTTTTTTATCTGTGATCTTTATACGCGGAAAGTCCGAGCGGGGCCAAAGGCCCCGCGAGGGCTGTAGCACTCTGAGATAACATGTATTACGCGTATCAATTCAAATGATATCAAATTAAAAGTAAATGAAAATTTCAAAAAAATATATATCCTATACCTAAGGCCATAGAAAATTAATCTTAGACTCTCATCCAGGTTTCAAGAAATAATTGGGGCGGGTGGGTGGAATTTATAATTTATAATTTATTTTATCCATCACTTTTAAGACCTGAAAAAACAGAAATGTATGAATATATTGATGAACGTCGCATCATTTCCACCCAGATTTTGATCAAAACTAAACCCAAAGGCCAAACCAATCACAAACAGTTTTCTTGTTTACTGCATCATATATTTCACATATGACGTCAGACGAACATTTTGACAATTTTACTGATCGAAAACGAACGTATTTAAAATCTTGATCACTAGAAGCTGTAAACCTCAGTCTGATTTTTATGCGTTCGTCCCGCGAATATTCAACCACGATTTTCGGACGAATTTTCGTCCACAGACGTCTGCGAAATGCAGGGTTCCCGCTGTCGCTCGCCAATGGCGCCAAATGCGACAAAATATTAATTCTGGCGCATAAAATCTTTAATTTGCGAATTTAACTGGCGCCAACGTAAGATAAAAGCATCCAACAACTAGTACACTTAAATGTCATAAGCGGCCGCGTCAATTACATAAGCGGCCCAAATGTGAAAGGTCACGCACTATTAGTTTGTTTATCAAACTGTATAATCGGGTACCGTATAATCAATTATGTCATCAATTGTGTGACACTTCGGGAACATGTGAAGATGAAACTAATTTTGACCCAGAGGGAACCCTGGAAATGAACAATTTTTTTTTATGAAAATAAATTATTTTGGGGCGGAAAGATTTTGATACGGGCGGGCGAGGATGAGAGTCTAAAAATTAATTTTCTGTAGCCTAATGAGCTGTGAAAAAATCCTTAGTTAACTGGGCGCCGCCATTTTGAAATCCTTTTGAGCTAAATATAGATTTCAGAGCGCTTTTAATGAGCGTCTACATAATTTAGACTATTGCTAGCAGACGCATGCTAAATAACACTTCCGGTGAAAGAATGACGGTAAACATGCACTTCATTGATAATAAAAATAGTAACGATAATAAATATAAAAAAGTTACTTTAACATAATTATCCTTTTTGATAATTTAGTGCATTAAAAATAACGTTAAAACAACAACTGTGATTAGAGATTAACAAAAATGGCGGACGGGATTTTCCAAACGCCGACGCATGCGCAGTGGTTCCCCTTTACGTTCGGAGATTTACGGAATAAGACCGAGCGTCCAATGATAGGTTGAACACCACCAATTTATTGCAAGAAAGATCTGGTTTACATGTACACTAAACATGTTATGCTAAAATCATAATTCATAAGGGCTTTCCGCGCCATAGGTAGCATGTAATTTCATATTATTTTAGTATGCACCTAATACTTTTAACACAGTTTTCCTGACAAGCGCCTCCCAGTCCCATTGATTGTTCAGTAGTAACATGTAGATAGATGACTAAGATGTACCCCTCCCCCCCCCCCCAAAAAAAAAATTAATCTGCTTCATTTCCTATTCAAGAATTTCATGAACGACAATTCCTCTTACTGTAGGTCGACTTACGACGATCTTGGAGTATTCGATCTACTAGCCTAAACACTGCTAAACTCTATAAAAAAATATTCACATTTCAAATTTTGTCTCTTATGGAATAGAGCGTATCTAATCAACATATCAATTTCCTTAATGATATTATGTATACATTCGAAAAGATATACCAATCAAAACTGCCAACTTGGTCCTCATACAGAGCAGAAATACACAGGAAACATGCCAAAAACGTGCTGAATACAAGGATAAATCCACCGGTAGACGCCATTTTGGAAACGATGTATGGTACCTAAAGTACGTAAAGTGGCGTAAAATTGTAATGTGGCGTACAGCGGTATGTTACTACCGACATCAACATTCTCGCATATAAAATTAAAATTCTGTCTTAACAATTCATTTCAATTCTATTTGAATAATTTAGTAATATCTTTTGATTTGATCTTACATGCCAAGAAAAATTAATTGATATACAGTACTAATGATATACCGAAATTAAGGTGTAAAAGCGTTAATTAGTTTTGTGATTCCTATTTTGATGTATATTGATAATAAAAAATTAATAAGACATACACACTAAGAAATCTAATGCATCGACTAAACAATATTATATTTTATATTTGAGACATGAATTTCATCATTAAATCAAACTTAATGATAATAACAATTATAACATAAAATTTCACACACAAATAAAAACAATCGCTACTGTACATGTGTTCCTAATTTGTTATTAATGTTCTAAAAGTAACTATGTTTTAATCTAAAATTTGATTAAAATATATATTAAATCAAGTGTGAAATAGTTTACACCGGATCTGTCATCCATTTTAGACAGTCAATGATCACCTTTTATCTATAATAAAATTTAAATCAACAATTGAAACTGGAATTGCTAAATTTGTTCCAATAAAAAGAATAGGATAAAAAAAATCCCTACCCTGGATAACAAAGGCAATTAAAAAACGCATGACAAAAAAGAGACCATCTATACCAAAAACTAAAAAAACATAAATCAAATCATGAAATTCAAAAAATTGAAAGCACTTATCAAAACTCAAATCAAAACATCTTACGATCAACACTTAGAACACATATTAGAACTTGATGACAATGATCCCACAGACGCCCAAACTAAATTTTCTACTAAAAAACTGTACTCTCACTTAAAAAACTCCAAACAAGAGTCCCAAAATGTAACAACTCTCAAAGACCAAACAACAGGCTATCTTAAATCAAACAACCGCGACAAGGCCAATATATTGAACAATCAGTTCCAATCAGTTTTCTCCAGTGCCTCTCCACTGTCTCTAAAACAAACTTGCATGCAAAAACTTTATTACCTTGACCCCAAAAAATACTGTAAATGCTCCCAAATGGATGATATATCTGTCAGCAAAAATGGGGTGCTGAAACTTCTTGCCAACCTAAAGATAAATAAAGCTGCAGGCCCAGACCTTGTTCGGTCGGTTGTCCTCAAAGAACTGAGGAATGAAATCACAGATATCATCACAATTCTTTTCCAAAAATCTTTATCCTCTGGTACAATTCCCTCTGACTGGACCAAAGCCTATGTTTGCCCTATTTACAAAAAGGTGACAGCACAGATCCAGCCAACTATCGACCGATTTCATTAACATGTATCCTTTGCAAAAAACGATCGAACACATTGTCGCCTCACATCTCTCTTCACACTTCAGTAATCACAACATTCTCTTCGACCTTCAACATGGCTTTAGGGAGAAACGCTCATGTGAAACACAGCTTATTGAACTAACAGACTCACCTGGCAACAACATCTCAGCAGGGAAACAAACAGATCTTATTCTCCTTGACTTTAGCAATGCCTTTGATAAAGTAAATCACCGTAAACTTCTCCTTACCCTTTAAGAAAACGGTGTCTCCACACAAATTCTCAATTGGACACGTTCCTTCCTGATAGGTCGGAGCCAAACTGTTGTACTGGAAGATGAACACTCTACAGAAGTCCTTGTAAACTCTGGTGTCCCCCAAGGCTCCGTCCTTGGCCCACTCTGCTTTCTGATCTACGTTAATGAACTTCCATCTTCTGTCTCCAAGTCTCAAATTCGCCTCTTTGCTGATGACACTGTGGTTTACATTACTATAAACTCGTCCTCAGACTCACAATCCCTTCAGGAGGATCTTAATAAGATGCAAATCTGGGAAAGGGAGTGGGACATGGAATTCAACCCCTCAAAATGTCAAGTCCTTCACATCACTAAAAACAAAAAAGTCATCAACAACAAGTACTCCCTTCATGGCCAAGCTTTAATATCAGTTCCTAGCTCAAAATACCTAGGCCTTGACTTGTCCACAGACCTAAACTACAACACACATATCTCAAGAATTACATCAAATGCAAACAAAACCCTAGGATTCATAAAACGAAATATCAATACAAAAAATGAAAAAGTAAAACATCTAGCTTATAAATCCCTAGTAAGACCACAGTTAGAATACGCATCAACTATTTGGAGCCCCTACACACAATCAAACATCCAAAAAAATAGAGATGGTCCAAAGACGAGCGATACGCTGGGTAAAACAGGATTACTCCCCTTTGTCATCAGTTACAGCCATGCAGAAAGATCTTGGCTGGCGTTCTCTCGAGCATCGCAGACTAGACTTTAGACTTATTATGTTTTTTAAAATTTACCATAATCTAGTAGCCATTAGCCTTCCCACCTACATTAAAACTCCATCTAGGCTTACTAGACATATGCATCCCCTCTCTCTTAGGAAAATACAAGTTACATCAGACTACCATAAGTTCTCCTTCTTCCCCCACTGTATCACACTTTGGAACCAGCTCCAAAGGAACATTGTCACCCTGCCTGATCTAGATCAATGCAAACAGGCAGTGGTTAAGATACAGTATTAGTTGACTTGTTGTGTTTTTACTTTTAAATCTTTCTTTCACCCTTACTAATAAAAATATCTTAACAATGACCAGAAGTTTTCAATGTCTCTCACTGTCCTGATCATGTTCATTTTCAAGTTTTTACTTTCTCTCACACCTTTTACTAACACACCCGATGCGCACAATTCCCTGCCTATAACACTCGCGAGAGGGATTGGCAGTACTCAGAGATAGATAAACAATTTACTTACATAGTAGTTTAATACCGATGGAAGGTAGTAATCAAATGCCAAACGAGATTAAATGTAATTTAGTAAATATAGTTTTAAAAATGTGTAGTCTGTTTTAAAGCTTATTGGTGTATGAGAAGGTTTATGTATGAAAATAGTTTCCCATTCATGTGATATTTTATTTGTTTATTTACGTCGCTTTCTCACATAAACAAATAAAATAAAATTCATATATTATACATTTAAGATACATGTGAGACAAATCAATTGAGATTTATAAGAGACATATGTAACCATTATGTGACCCATGTACTTGTAGGCTATATATTGTAAATGTGTTGCCTCACAGACCAGTAATAACTGATATTTACGTATCATACAAAATTATTGTTGTTTTTGCGCATGATTACTAGCTGTCATATGTTACCCCCTTTCTCTCGGAATACCAGCATGCTTCTATTCGATACAAATTTCAAGTCAATTTCATAATGTTTTCCCCTTGATCTTATTCTCCCAATATTATTTATTTACCAGCCAAATTTTACTCTTTTCAACATGCTTTACCCTGGACTCAATTTTCCTAACTTATTTACCAATCAATGACATACGACACAAATACAGGCTCGTCTCCCCCTTTTTATCAATTTTATTTATATCAATGACATACTTTACTACACTATTACATTATCAACTTTGAATGTTATTACTTGTTTTCGCTGTTGCTGTTGTTTCTTTTTGTTGTTGTTGTTGTTGTTTTCTTCTTCATCTCTCTTAGATTACTATTGCTTATTGCAAAAACTAATACAATTAACAGCCTATAATAGATATGTATATTTGTATATAAAAAAGGTGTCAATTTTTTCAGTGGTATCCCCGTCAAATTGTTTTGTAATTCTTTTGTCATATTGTGAGTTATTAATATTTAGCACATGAATTCAGTACATGTACTTACTTTACTGAAAATGGTACGCCTTGGCGAGCATTCTTTATTCATTTTTACAGTACTTATCATTTAGGTTCAACTCACATTTGTTAAAATGGTAAATTTTTTGCAATGTTGTCATTTTACTGTGGTCATTGACTAAATAAAAGGACTTTGTTGTTGTTGTTTTTGAAATTAATTTTTAAAAAGTCACACTGGCTTAAACTAGAGTGTCATCACATCCGCAAAAGCGCAATCAGTTTAGTGATTGTCTAACATGAGACATACGGTTCAAACCCTTTTTCTTTTTCTTTACTTTTGCAATACATTTTGAATGAAATGGTATAGTGCTTGCAAACATGTAGATAAAGTTGTGAAGCAACAGCCACATAAATTATACTGTACGTTTTGTCCCGTTTTTACTGTATATACGGAACTGAAATGACAGTTATTATAAGTTAACCTCACTCCAGAGTATGCCCATTGACATGGCATATGTCTGTTATGCGTTAATTATCTCTCTTGCGACGAGAAGATGTCCATTTTTCCGGCAGATAATACGTACTTTAGTCTTTCAATTTGTCTTTAATAGGATGAAACATAAATAGTTTCCGAACGTCAGTTACTACAATGTATATGTATTATTTTTTTTTTATTTTGATTAGATTTATTTATCTTTAAGCATAGTTTGTACCCATTTCGGTAAGAACATTATTACAACTATACAAGGCTTATAATCAAATGATATTGCTTTTTGATATATTTTTTTTAAATCACAAACTATAGAGATATATGCACATACATATTTTAGCGGCTGAACTCAGTAAATTGTTGTTCTTTACTATTATATTTTGTAAAATTGCATATAACCAGAGACAATATATACCATATTACAACATATAACTTGAGATACATAAAATCATTCGGAGCCGAATTGGTTTTTGGCCGAAACATCATATTTGCTTAAAGCCGATTTTTCGTATAATAAAAACTCTTTTCGCTATTAATGGGCAATCGGAATGTCCTCGGCTATTATCCTTAATTCGAATACTGACGGAAAGAGCCGAAAAGTTGCGATTGTACTAAGGGTCAAGGCCGTAACTTACCCAAACTTGTGAAAGAAGAAACGCCGTGCGTGTGATTAATCAGAATTATTTAATAGATATAAGCAAGGATTGACAATGTAAATGTTTGGTATGGTTATTTTAAAAAGAAATTTTCGTTTTATTAATTTTTTTCTCTAATACTACTCCTTGTGTCGTGAGAATAGAGTGGAAATTTGACAACATGTGATGTTGGTTCCAAAACAGGTTTCGTTCCACCTGAATAAACACAGAATCTAAATAAAGTCTACAAGGCGTGTACTATTTGTATTTAATATTAAGTTGAAATAACTTGTTCTTCTTACAGATTTACTTACAGAAAAATAATAAAGTCTATAAAATTGTAACATTTCTCTTGTTTGGAACTTTTGCTCTGGTCAGTCTTGCAGTCAAAAATTATACAAATATATTTGTATAATTTTTGACTGCAAGACTGACCACTTTTTACAAACTGATATTAGTTGATATGAAAAAGGCAAAGCCTCAAAGCGAGCTCAATTTACTTTTACCGTGTCGTGTAATAGTATAAAAAATCGTTCATTTTTTAAATTTACATTTTCCGTTTTAAAAACTGTCGTTCGGTATTTTATACACTGCTTCCGTTTATTCTGGTTCCCTTACCTATTATGGTTCCCATATAAGTGTGCAGTACACCAGTCTACGCTTCCATTTTCAATCAGAATACCTCAGCTTTTATTGTTATTTTGTAATTCGAAAAGTTGTGATGTGTCAATTCAGTACTTCGGACGAAAGTTTTCAAAACCATCACTATCTAGCAGGTACCGTAAAGCTCGTTTTGTGAGCAGTCCCTTCGCTCTTTGAGCTCCTTAATATGAAATTAGGCAAAGCATGCAGTACATGTATGAATGGGGAAGTCAGTTAAAATAACATTCATTTTTACAGTATGTCTAGTCCAACTAATTGTACTGCGCGACGAGATATTGTGCTATTTTCGTGTCTGGGCAATATCTCGCCAGATTCTGCCCCAGAACGAAAATATCTCAGAATCAAGCTTTGGCACGTCAATATATTTTGACTACAGTATGTCTTACTTTATTTTTTGAGATATGGGTAAAATATTCATATATCATTGTGCATTTTATCATTTTAATAGTGTCGTCATCCTGTTAGAGTCCTCATTCTGTTGTTTTTTTTCACATGTGTTTATTGTGAGAGTTTGTGTATTAATAATCAGGGCTGGGCTCTCGATCAACCAAATCTGTCCCCCACCAAAATAGTATGTTTTTTTCCCCCCTAACAGAGGTAAAAATTCCCCCTCTAAACATATAAAGTTATAAAGACAAAAAATGAAAACTCATGTTGTTTTTGAAAAGTAAAATCCATCTATTTGACAGCTATTTTGTAAGCGGAATATTGTATACAGTACTGTACATGTCTGCACGTTTCTGTTTGTTTCCCCCCCCCCCCCCCCAAAAAATGTACTGTCACATATTGGCCTTTTATCCAGTAAAAATGCTAAAATTTCAACAGAAATATGCAGAAAAAACCACATTTCCCATCAACAATTCGATTTCAAATTGTTTATTCATGAAATCATTTTTTTTGTCTTCAAAATGTTACATCAACCACGGTAAATTTTGCCGTAAATTACAAACTTGTAAGTTTTGTTTTCATGATACTTGATGAAATAACTGATCATGGAAAACGATCTTATAATAAACAATAAATTTAATTTTATATAATATACATCAGCAACAACTAGAATTTGTGGATGTGTAAACAGAAAACAGACAAATTTTCATTTGTCACATATTTTCGCGATGCCGATTTTTACAATTGTTTTACAAAGTCAAGAAAAGGAAGCATTGTCTTATTAAAAGGTGTGTTATAACACTAGAAATGCAGTTTCACTTTAGGTCCATATATTGTTCATGTTAGTGGAAATGGAGATATTTGTCTGAATGTGTTCCTCAATGCTTATTTTAGGGGTGGGGGTGGTGGAGTGAATCATAAAGAAAGCTAAGCAGCATAAAGGTCTGATGGGGCAAGGTCATAAAAACTTTTCTTCAAATCTTATCAATCACTTCTGAACAGTTTAGTGTTACTTATTTGGGATTTTTTAAAAAAATAATATGCATGTAAATAAAAAAACAGCTAATATTAAGGTTAGTTTATTTGATATTTGATCATGAAAAAGAGAGGAAAATTCCCCCTGTACACTAAAATTCCCCCTGCTGAGGCCATCCTTAAAAAAATGTTTGTTTGCAGTAACGCGACCTACTCACAAAATTTGCCCCTACTCAAAAGTTTTTTTCATGGTCTGGATAAAAAATTTTTTTTTTTTTAATCAGAAAATTATGCCTTGTGCTTTGTTTTTGTTCTTTTAAAGGTTAATAGAAGAAATAAAATGTATGTATTATTTTATTAGAATTCATTTATCAATTTATTAATTGTTACCAGATTATCAAAGCATAAATTGTCCAGCATTTTGAAATTCCATGTTTATTTGGGAGTACAGTTCAAAAAAAAAAAAAAAAAAAAAAAAAAAATCGACCTACCTACCCACCTTGAAAATTCTGGGTCGGGTTACTGCAAACAAACATTTTTTTAAGGATGGCCTGAGGGTAGCAACCCACTTCCCCCAAATTGGATTGAGGCTCCTGACAATTCAGGAATTATGAATTTCAAAACCTAGCTAAATACCTTTTTCCCATACAGGGCTTCCATTAAGTTTCAAAATTTGGAAGTCAGAGACTTCAAAATCTCTGATATTGGAAGTCACATTATATAGCTAAAGAAGAAAAGTATTAGAGTTTGGAAGTCACAAGCCAAAATCAAGGAGTAAATGACTCCCAAACTTCCATTAACGGAAGCCCTGCCCATACTTTTCAAATCATAACAATCTGTGCCTTTGGGAAAAGTTCTTTAAATGCAAACCTGAGCAGATGTGGGATAGTGCAGGGATAGTTTCAAAGTTTACTTCTGAACTCAATTCATGTTACAGTATTGTACACACATGACAATATGAGCTATTAAGCCGCTGTAGTATATAAACATACAGTAACATAAAGAGGCATAGCATAAATATGAAATAGATAATAATACAATTCATCTTAACAAAATGGAGAGAGACACGCATTTTCAAAGGAGATGATGAACAAATATGTAGAAATGTTATCTATTCTCAAATTTTGTGATTATTTCCTTAACAAATAAACAAAAATTTCTACATGTTAGAAATAGATATCATTGTTTTTAAAAGTAGTCTCCCATAAAACACTGATTCCATTATCATTTATTATGCTCCCCGAAAAATTTCTGGGGAGCATATAGTCGTTGGGTTGTCCGTCAGTCCGTCTGTACGTACGTCCCGAATTCATGTCCGGCCCATAACTTTGTTATTTGAAGTCAGATTTTAAAACTATTTCACAGAAATGATCACCATATTGAGACAACGTGTTGCGCGCAACATTTGGGTCGTTACCTTGAAGGTCAAGGTCACAGCATGACCTTGCAGCAAAATCGTGTCCGGTCCATTACTTTGTTATTTGAAGTCGAATTTTAAAACTTTTTCACAGAAATGATCACCATATTGAGACGACGTGTCGCGCGCAACATTTGGGTCGCTACCTTGAAGGTCAAGGTCACAGCATGACCTTGCAGCAAAATCATGTCCAGTCCATAACTTTGTTCTTTGAAGTCAGATTTTAAAAATATTTCACAGAAATGATCACCATATTGAGACGATGTGTCACACGCAACATGTGGGTCGCTTCCTTGAAGGTCAAGGTCACAGCATGACCTTGCAGCAAAATCGTGTCCGGCCCATAACTCCACTATTTGAAGTTGGATTTAAAAAGTATTTCACAGAAATGATCATCATATTAAGATGACGTGTCATGCCCAACATTTGGGTCGCTACCTTAAAGGTCAAGGTCACAGCATGACCTTGCAGCAAGATCGTGTTCGGCCCATAACTTCCTTATTTGAAGTCAGATTTTACAACTTTTTCACAGAAATGATCACAATATTGAGACGCCGTGTCGCGCGCAACATTTGGGTCGCTACCTTGAAGGTCAAGGTCACAGCATGACCTTGCAGCAAAATCATGTCCGGTCCATAACTTTGTTATTTGAAGTCGGATTTAAAAATATTTCACAGAAATGATCACCATATTGAGACGATGTGTCGCACGCAACATGTGGGTCGCTTCCTTGAAGGTCAAGGTCACAGCATGACCTTGCAGCAAAAGTTGTCCGGCCCATAACTCCACTATTTGAAGTTGGATTTAAAAAGTATTTCACAGAAATGATCATCATATTAAGATGACGTGTCATGCACAACATTTGGGTCGCTACCTTGAAGGTCAAGGTCACAGCATGACCTTGCAGCAAAATCGTGTTCGGCCCATAACTTCCTTATTTGAAGTCAGATTTTACAACTATTTCACAGAAATGATCACCATATTAAAATGGCGTGTTGCGCGCAACATTTGGCTTGCTACCTTGAAGGTCAAGGTCACTGCATGACCTTGCAGCAAAATTGTGTCCGGCACATAACTTCATTATTTGAAGTCGGATTTTACACCTATTTCACAGAAATGATCGCCACAATGAGACATTGTGTCATGCGCAACATTTGGGTCCTTGCCTTGAAGGTCACGGCATGACCTTGCATCAAAATCGTGTCCGGCCTATAACTTCGTTACAGGAAGTCGGATTATACAACTATATTACAGAGATGATCACCATATTGAATTGATGTGTCGCATGCAACGTTTGGGTCGCTACCTTCAAGGTCAAGGTCACAGCATGACCTTGCAGCAAAATCGTGTCCGGCGCATAACTTCGTTATTTGAAGTTGGATTTTACAACTATTTCACAAAAATGATCACCATATTGAGACAATGTGTCGTGGACAATATTTGGGTTTTTTTTTACACTTTGAACTTTGTCTGTGACATAACTCTGACACAACAAGAGGTATACCTTCCTGTGTCCAAAACCTATTCGGGGAGCATCACCCAGTTCAACCGGCTCTTGTTTAAAAGAGATTTTGATATATTTTAATTTTTTATTTCAGATGTAAAACATCTTGAAATTTATAGTGTTCAACACTACTGACTTTTCTGGTAATAAAAAAGAATAAGGAACTCAACAAACATGTCTGCAAGAAGGATTAACAAGATGCGTAACCAGGGACAAGGAGGCGGCACTCGTGTTCATTATGTACGGGCGGACATTGTAACTCAGAAAAGGAATGAGAGGATGGTTCGAGAAGCGTACAGGCGTGAACATAAGATAAGTTCGTACCTAGCGGAGGACGAGAACTTTCCGAGCTTCCGGACTCAGTTGGCGAAACTTGGATTAGAATTGAGAGATATACCAGGTGATGGGTAAGTAAATTTAAATATAATTTAAACTATGTTAAAATTACCATGAAAGGTTCAATTAAAGAATTAAAAAAACAATAGTAAAACTATGAATATCTTTAATTTGCCATTAATTTTTTATACAAAACCTTCTTTTTTTTCTGGCCCATTGTGATGACCCATAATAGGTCTTGTTTCCAATGCCAAAAAGTATGTGTTTTTTGTGTTTTTTTTTTTTCAATTTCAAAATTTCCAATTCAAGTAACAAAAAATAAAAAAATAAAATAAGCAAAATTATTGTCATTTTGCCACTTTAATCGCACTGTGCCGTAGAAAACAGTAAACTTGCATTTTAAATTGTAATATGTGCTTATGTCTAAAATATAAAAGGAGTCTAATTAACCAAATATTTGATTACTTTGCCTTATTTGATGTATACAATATATTGTCAGTTTTTTGTCAATTTGTCTAAAACATTGTAAAAATTCCCAACTCTGGGAAAGTGCTTAGAAAACTGTAACAGCATTACATGAATGTTTGAAAGTCAGTGGTACATAAATGAGCTGCGTCATGACAAAACCAACGTAATGCGCTTGCGATTAGTCTGATTAGGATCCATGCTGTTCGTTTACAAAACCTATTACAAGTAGAGAAACTAATATCGAACGGCATGGATCCTGACCAGACTGCGCGGATGTGCAGGCTGGTCTGGATCCATGCTGGTTGCAAACACATTAAGTTGGTCTTGTCATGACGCGGCTCAAATATGCAAAATAAAATGAAAAAAAATATTTATCTGTACAGAACATTGTGTTCAGCTAATTAATTTTGATATAAAGTATAAACATTTTGTTACAGGAACTGTTTGTTTAGGGCACTCGGAGACCAGTATGAAGGTCATGTACGCAATCATTTCCGCCATAGACAAGACACAGTTAAATATATGAGTGAACACAAGAACGACTTTGAACCATTCCTTAGTGATGATACCACCTTTGAACGACACAGTAAGTACTTCTACATAAGTCTCAGATAGTTATTACAAAATGTATGTTGACGTGTTATTTTGTTGCTATAAATTTTCAACTTTTGATGCTATTTTTCAGAACCTTGAATATGTAAGTTAAATATAAAACCACCTATTATTTGTTTGTTTATAAATTTTTAAAGTATGCATGTACATGTCTATTTGATTTGATGAATAGGCAGTTCAATATTTAACATAAATATAACAAAATAAAAACAACAATTATTCATTTATTTATAAATTTGCAAGGGAATACATGTACATGCCTGTTTGATGAATAGGCAGTTCAGACAATGTTTCTCATCTTTATCTACATTGTACTTAACCTTACTTTGGTACACAAGTCTGTCATCAAAATAATCATAATAAGTAAACACACCAACTACAGTACATGTATTTCCACTCCTTTAAAGAAACACATTTCTAGCTGTACTTAAAACAGTGTCAATAATTAAATCAAAATTTGCAATATGGTGGCTTTAATTGGCACTCAAGTTTTTCTAAATTTATCTGATTTCCTTATTAGAAAGACATGAACCAGTGGACTTGTTCCCAAAAGGGTTGAAAAAAATCTCAGCTAAAAAAACAAACAAAAAAACTGACCAATCAAAGCTGTATAAGAGACATTGTTTTTGTATCATACATTCTGATTAATAATATCATGTCAACATTTTAGTTTCAGGTTTACAGAAACTTGGGACATATGCTGGCAATGATGCAATAGTGGCATTTGCCAGACTGCATGAAGTTAATGTGATCATTCATCAACTCAATTCACCTTTCCTTATGGTAGGTACACATGTACTTCATGAAATATTACCTTGACCTCTTGACCACTAGCAAGTAGATTTTATTCAAATTTTCAAAATTAAGGAATTTAATCATCAAAAATTTGAAACCAAACATATTTAGCTTTACAAATTGTTTACTGTTTAGTTTGGAATAATCGATTCAGTTATGATGGAGAAATAAGTTGAAACATTGCCTTGGGTGAATTCAATGTTAACCTTTTTACTTTCTTTTTCAATGTTTTGAGGGGCTATTTCAGGTGAATGCTGTACAACAATCAAAATTATTACACAAAATTATTTTCTGTATAATTTCTTATTTTGAAAGCTGTGGTAGAGGTTAATGGAAATAATATGATTATTGCAAGAAGTAACATTTATAAAATCTTTGAATTTTGAACAGTTGAAAAACTCTTGTCAGTTACTTAAAAGTTAAACACTGGAACTGATTGGCATTTTCACTTGTACAAATTACAGATTCAAGGAGTTAATGTCAGTTCCCCTTCAACAAGACAGTTACATATAGCATACCATAATGGAGATCACTACTCAAGTGTTAGAAAATGTGGCGATAATACAGAATCTCAAACCAATATCAGATTAAAGGTAAATTTTCAAAAACAATGCAGTTTTTCTTCCTGATTTATGAATGTGTCCTTATTTTTGAGTTAAGATAATATACAAAGAACATAGGCCTAACATAAGCATTACCATGGGGCTTTGCTCCATCAGGTTTACCTATTCTGGTTGATAGGATTTATAACATGGTACATATAGAAAATAAGCTTACAGAACATTGGTACTTCTACTCGGGTGCATGTTTGTGCCTGAAATAATGCACCAAGAGGCACCTTAGGCCTTCCTCCACCAGTAAAGCTGAAAAGTTGCCAAATGACATATACTGTATTGTTGCGACATAAAACCCAACCCAAAAAAAATCCTATAAAATAAGTCTAATGTTAAAGAAAAAGTGTAACTTCAAAAAACCTGATTGACAATAAATATTTGATCTTTGGTATAAAAGGTACTTTAGGAATATGTCTGGAACCAGTTTTTGATAATGATCAAACTTACCAATTCTTTGAAACTATCTCCGTCCAAATAATGTTTTCGCTATTATTATCAGTTTTTTTATTTCTGTAAAGAAAGGCAAATGCTTACTGCCCTATATATTTTCTAAACCTCGCACAATATTCATATGATTGGTGTAATTTATAGATTGGAGAAGATGGACAGAAATCCACAAAGACAGATTATGGCAGTGGGGTATACAGTGACGATGGCGTAGCACGTGCAGTGAGAGACACTGTCCGTCTAGCAGAGGAAGTGATGAATGCTACAGGATGTATGGTGAGTTGATTAAAAACACTGAAATATGGAACTCAACTCACAGGGAGAGAACTTGGTACGGAATTTTTGAAATAGATACAAGTTTCATCATGCAAAATGAGAACAGGTCAAAGTTCAATATTTGTTCTATCTTACAGGATGAGCAGAGAGTATTAGAAAGTCTGACAGACTGTGACTATGATGTGGATGCTACTATAGCTTACGTCCTACAAACTATGGAAACAAACCCAGGTAAGTCACTTTGTGACCTACATAAACTGTTATGTCACTGGTTTGAACCTGTGTCAGGGCAAAATTTCTCTATGATAATTGATTACATACATTGAGTGTAATGGCCAATTGTCTCTTACCACTAATTATACAGGAAGGTTGGTTGGACAGACGGACCATCAAGATACTACCATTAATATGTTATAAAAAATTGCGAAAACCAGACAAAACAAATTTAAAACAGTATGTACACCTTGCCATATCCATATTTCAGGTACTAATCCATATTTGCATGGTTAAGTTTTCACACAACCATGTTTGAATGAAGAGTGCAAATAAATAAATAAACTGATTATTACAAATTATTCCTCCCCATGCCTAAGACAGACAATATGTTATTGTAAAGATGTTTATATGTCCAGTATTGTAATCAATTTCAATATTTCATACAGACTTCAAAGACGACACGACCTCCCTCGCCTCTCAGATGACCTCCACGGACAGTGGTATATGGTCTGAAAGCAGCACTACGCCTACCAAACATGATGTTAATGGTAATACTTCACAGGTCAAAGGTCATGTGAGAGACGACAGTTATGGTGGTAGCTCTGGGTATGGTTCACTAAATAGCCAGGGTGGAGCTAGACCAAAAGTCTTTCAGGAGCCAAAGGTATGTATTTTGCAAGAAATAAGAAATTTTGAAAGACTTATGGATATAGATTTGTCTTAATTTGTCTTACAAAGGTTGTTTCTAAGTTCAGATTTAACACATTTAGGCAGCAAACTAATATAGAAATCCGTCTTTCCAAGTATTCTTTTGTTTGAACATAGCTGAGAAATAAGGGCATACATAGACTTACTTTTTTAGCTCGACTATTCGATAAGAATAAGTAGAGCTATTGCAGTCACCCGAGCGTCGGCGTCGGCGTAACCACTTATGTTAAAGTTTTTGTAATAGTTCAAATATTTTCAAAGTCCATAGACATATGGCTTTGAAACTTTGCACACTTGTTCACCATCATGACCCCAACCTGTAGACAAGAGGAGGTAACTCTATCAAGCATTTTGACAGAATTATGCCCCTTTTTTGACTTAGAATTTACGTTAAAGTTTTTGTAATAGTTCAAATATTTTCAAAGTCCATTGACATATGGCTTTGAAACTTTGCACACTTGTTCACCATCAAGACCCCAACCTGTAGACAAGAGGAGGTAACTCTATCAAGCATTTTGACAGAATTATGCCCCTTTTTCGACTTAGAATTTACGTTAAAGTTTTTGTAATAGTTCAAATATTTTCAAAGTCCATTGACATATGGCTTTGAAACTTTGCACACTTGTTCACCATCATGACCCCAACCTGTAGACAAGAGGAGGTAACTCTATCAAGCATTTTGACAGAATTATGCCCCTTTTTCGACTTAGAATTTACGTTAAAGTTTTTGTAATAGTTCAAATATTTTCAAAGTCCATTGACATATGGCTTTGAAACTTTGCACACTTGTTCAACATCATGACCCCAACCTGTAAACAGGAGGAGGTAACTCTATCAAGCATTTTGACAGAATTATGCCCCTTTTTCGACTTAGAATATACGTTAAAGTTTTTGTAATAGTTCAAATATTTTCAAAGTCCATTGACATATGGCTTTGAAACTTTGCACACTTGTTCACCATCATGACCCCAACCTGTAAACAGGAGGAGGTAACTGTATCAATCATTTTTTTTACTATCAAGCACTAAGAATAGTCGAGCGTTGCTGTCCTACCGACAGCTCTTGTTTAATGTTTTGATCATATAATTGATTCTACCCATGTGACCAGTGCAGACAAAAATCAGCTGTCACCTTGTTGTTGTCTGATCATGGTCTGCACTGTTTGCAATTCAGTCAATAAATATTTTCCTAAAAGTCATTAGTCATGTTCCCTAAAATTTGATGAATGATTTTGTCCAGATTGAATTATGGGCAAGTCCATTTAAGAAACTCAGCAGGGTAAGGGTTACTGGTAATATTTAAACATCAGTTAAGCTATATTTGAAGTGTCTCGTTATGTTCAGGTGCCAGTGCAAGCAGCAAGATTGAACAGCAAACAGACGAAGAAGATGAAGAAGATGGAGAAAAAGAAGAGAGCAGAAGAAAAACACAAGTTGAAGGTTCAAGGTGGTGTACCTGTCAATGCTGTTGATGATACTGATGATGTGGTTACCATCATTTCTAAAGATCTACAAATGGCAAAAATTTAAATGGAAGAGAAGGCGGGACTTAATAATAGGAGGGACTTGATAAGAGGCGGGACTTGCAAGGTGAAAGGCGGAGCTGTCTTGCAAGATAAAAGGTTGAGCTTATGCAAATATATGCAATTATTTGATATTTTTGTGATAATTAGTTTAGTAGTAAAAATTAGGAAATTTTAATGAATTCTATGTTTGGGGAAAGTTGTATGATATATGCTGCTGACAAAATAGCAATGGTCGTATATTAGAAAAATATATTATAATAAAATTTATTTTGACTCAAAATGATAATATATGAATGGCATGTAATACATATTTGTTCCAACATATTATAATATATGAATGAAATGTAAAATATATATTTGTTCCATAACAATTCCATTACCAATGTGATATTTAGTACATGTGTATTTTTCTGTATGTTGTTCTAGTTTATAATGTGATAGATATTTTTTTTCATACCCTACCCACCCTTCATACATATAAAACAGTTTTTGACATGAATTAGGGCTGAATTAATACATTGCATGGATTTTCTAAACTGTAAAGTATTTGATGATTAATGGGATTAAAATTTGCTTGATTTGTACATAAATTATGTACATTATTGTTAATATATATATAAGATGTTTGTGTCACTTCAGTACTGAAGTGAATGACATTTTGAGCTGACCTGATCACAATGTTTTTTCTTTAAACAACTTTTCTGAAACCAAAGACTAGATATTAACATTCTAACATGATCCACACTTTCCCCTTTTAAAGATAAAAGACAGAAAGTTTTGTAAATATGCTAACAATCTATATTTAGACATTTGATGTAACCATTAAAAGTGTGACGCAGTAAAAATAAGTATGGAAACAAGTCAGGCACAATTTACTATTTTTTAGGTTGATATCAGGTATTGCAGCATTTATTTGTTGATGTTGTGTTAGAATCAAAATAATATATCTCACGCAGTAATTTAATCGCTTAATAAAATTGCTGTTTGTCATTCAGATGGGCAGCATTATATCAGTCGGGGGCTACTACGTAGTGATATTATTTGTTGTATCCGAACTCCAAACAGTTACTTTATTTAGCAATTACCGTTCGGGATAAATTATTTCTTAAACCATATCATCATGCTGACAAACTTTATGAAATTCTATTTCTACTTTGCACATTTCAATTTGCAAGTGAATTGTATATAATATATGGTAATTTATAACAAAGTTATGTGCACCTCAACCCCTAAAACAAGTAAAATAGAGATCCATATCAGATTTATATGTAAGACTATTCAAGGATATCTATTTTCTGTTTCAATATAATATTTCAGTAATAAAGTAGAATAAAAATGAAGGATGGGTCGGATTTTGTATTTACTTACTTTGCTTTAAATTTTTTTCTCAATCTATGATTGTGATATTTTTGTATGTATATAAACTTAAGATTAGTGCCTGAAATGAATTATTGTAAATATGTAAATTATATATAAATGTAGATATGTAAACAATTTATTTGATACCACTTGCTAAACTTCAATCATAACTCATTGCTGTATATTTTAAAATGTATAAAATTTAAATCATGTATGCTGAAGGATAACCCATAACCCGCTGAATATTTGTAGTGGACTCTTCCTGCTTTTAATTTGGGATAGTCCATTTGAGATTTTAAGGGGATTCAGTATCAGAATACAAAAATTTAGTTACCATCAGTATAGAGCTTGGTCAGACTGCATGGGTGTTTGAGGTGCTGCGGGCTAATGACTTTTGGTTTCAAAAGTTAAGGGTTCAAGTCTGGTCACATTACTTTTCCACCATATTATATAATTATTTCATTATCATGACTTTGATACTTTTTTGTTTAAAGGAGTTAGAATATATAAAACTGCTTAGGCAAATTAATTTATCACCTGATTATTCTTTTCTTTGTTCAAAGTAGTGTCCAGAAGAAATTGTGGAAGGCAATTTTTTTAAGTCCTTTTTAAGACATGATTAATAGCAATCCTTCAGCATTTAAAGTAGATATAGAAATTAGAATTCAACAAGTGTGCTTATTTCATTTTTTTCCTACATTTTTCCTTATTTATTTTGGGGACTTTGTGAATATTATTTAAATTCCTATACTTTAATATTTATGTTTAAATTTTTATTAAAATTCTGTTTTCATAATGACTTGCTATAATCGTATGTGTAGCTACATTACTCTACAAAAGTTTGTGAAACACTGCTGAGTTTTCTTGAAAAAAAAATGCAATGGGTAATGATCGTCTTTTCAAAAGATTTGCATGCTTTATGAATTTATGTGTTAACATTTATTATAAATATTTTATAGTTCATTCCTTGAAAAGAGGTAGGAAAAGATTGATGTAGCAAAAAAACTTTTGTAGATATTTTCACATCGGTTCAGTAACATTATGTTGGCGGTTTTTATTTAAATGAATTCAGCGCACGCTGGCATTAAGCGTATGATTTAATTCATGGAGGGATGTTAATGTATTTATCTATAGAAAATTGGATTATCATCATCGTCCAAAATAGAAATGAAATTTAATTTATTCATACGATATATTATACGTAAATATTGTATTACCCTGAAACTGTTTGGGTGAAATCAGAATATTTGAAGTTTTGTTTGAGGAAAGTTATTTTGCTTTTGTCATGATGTATAATTATGTATTTGAATGTTAAAAACAAAAGTGCAATTTTTATTATACATGTTAAAAAGAAATAAAAAGATGTCTTAAATATAATAGGATATGGATTCATTTACATGTACAACATGTATATTCTGCACATATTAAAATAGTGTATAAACTGGTTTTGAAATAAACATGAAATAGAAGTGGTTAATTTATGTTTGAATGAAAAATATTGTTACGTTCTGCTGATTCACAAATGCAATTTCTTTTCTAAAGGAATTGTTTTGCTTTGAGTAATAGGATAATGTTCAATATGTATGAGTCATCAGCTATTTTTTTACATACATGTACAAATTTCTGACATATTTGTTCAGGTTAAATTCAGCTTTCGGTCTTTTCACTTATGTGAAAATGTTTCTTGTCTCATCTTTGTTTTTTGCTAGTACAATCTTATAGTAGGATTTAATACATGGGCATTATCTGTTTGATGTAAATGATGATATTTTGTGTCTACATGTTATAGACTTTATTTTTTCTTGCCCTTTTTTATGCCCCCGGACATATAGTAATTGAACCGTCCGTCCGTCCGTCTGTCCGTACTAGGTTAACCTAGAACGGCAAGTTGGATTTTTCTCAAGTTCTACCTGTACCAATGGCTTCATAATTTACACACTTACTAATCCATACAAAGTATATGATCTGGGCAAGTAACATAACTATGGCTTCCATTTGCACCAAGTTATGGCCCTTTTCAGCACTTAGAAAATGAATAATGGTTAACCTAAACCAGTGTTCAATCTAGAACAAATTCCCAGGGGGCCCTTCGGGCCCATAAACTTTTCAAAAGGGGGTCATTTGAGAAAAAAGGGGGCCCACACATAAAATGAACATCAAATTCAAATAAGCTATTGTATCTTTTAAGTTACTTGTTCACGTACCATATTTAGACCAAAAACGGTTGCAAAATTCCAAAACAAAAAAAAATGACATTAGCGTTGATACAGGCTCAAATTTAAGAACTGATTGGTAAAGAAACGCGATGACATAATGTTCAAAGAAAAATATGAATCTTATTTTAATGTTACCAGGGATATTTGACAATAATGTTCAGTTTTTTAATCAGGAAAATCATATTTTGAAATTAGCTAGCCTTTGTTTATGAAGAATATAAACTTACAATAGTCGCTAAAAACAAATACTCTGCTCAATATATCCAAGCGAAAAACAAAGTGTCAACAGGTGCTAAGACAATGTATATTGACATACCGGTACCTTTGATCTTTTGTCAGGGCAGCAGCTCTTACGTCACGCTTAAGATGTCTGTATTGATTAATGATATGCACAATGTTTTAGCGCCGACCAGCCAAAGACCAATCAAAGTTAATTTACTTAATTGTCAGACACTCCCTAGCCAATCGTGTTTGATTGCTCCATCTTTAAGACATTTTTAATTGGATGAAGGCGTGTTCGTATTAATTTATGCACACTTCTCTATAATTAACTCGCATTTTCACATACATATATATTTTTTTTCCTTTGGAAAGTTATTACATATTTATTTGTTTTGACCGTGAAAAAACTATAACTACACGCACGTATTGGATTATCTGTGACGATTTGTTTTGCTTATAAAAACTGTGACTCAAAAGTAAGTAATAGTTACGGTACGAACAGGTCTACATAGTATTTACACACGCGGACCGAGAGAGCGTAGCGATAAAGTTTTTTAATGGGTTACCGAGTGCGGTAAACTATCTTACCAACATGCTCTTGTTTTTCAATACAAACTTCAGTTTTGAATTCAGTATTTATTAATATTATTCACAAGAAACTTCTTTTATGTACTTAATCAGGTTTAAGAAAGCATTCTAATGTCATTTAGGGCATTTTCTATGAGTGCGCCCATCGGGCCCACAGTTGATTTTGTTTTGCGCCGGCGGCCTTTTCAGGGGGTCAATGGCGCAATGGCGCGCTCTAGATTGAACACTGCCTAAACCAGCAAGTTGGAAATATGTTATGTTCTATCTGAACTAATGGCTTAATAATTTTCACACTTACTTATCAATACAATGTACATGATATTGCCAAGTTATATAAATGTGCCGTCCATTTCCCAGTAATTTCCCTTTTTATCACTTTGAAAATAGGGCCTTGTATGGTTAACCTATTCTGCCAAAGGTGGATTTATCAAAAAATTTCACCTAATTACTTAATTTATATAATGATATCTTTCATATTTTGGTAGGTGGATACCTTTAACGGTCCTCTAATTTTTTGTGGCGTTAGGCATCTCTAGTTCAAGGTCAAGGTCACTTGTGTAAAAAATAAATCTAAACATTTCTGCTCATACAGCCTTTATTTTTAAGTTAATGTCTTTCATGTTTA